ATGAAAGTTATTGATATGTTACCGTGACCTCGTCTTACCCCTAACGTGTCGACGGTAATGTAACACAAACACATTTGTGTTTGTGTTACAGTAGATTCTTAGAAAATTGACTATGACTTACTGATAGACAGACTCCATTATTAAGGATATACCTACCTTTAACAAGTGAGTCTGTCTGTCTTGAATGGATGATTAATACCTATTAAAAAATCCAAAACAAAATTATTCTTTCTACTTTAATCTGTAAACTGGTAAGTCAAATGTAATAAATTGATATAGGTATGATATTATATTAACCTTTATATATATATACTAGCTGACCCGGCAAACGTTGTTTTGCTATATACATTATTTCATACAAAATTGTCAAAAAACAATAATTAGCGGTATAAAAAATAGATGTTGGCCGATTCTCAGACCTACCCGATATGTGGATGAGTTCAACCACGTACACCATGACACGAGAATTTTATATATTAGATATAATAGGTATTAACCTAAGGTAGGTTATTATATCCTAACCTAGATATTGACGACTGCCTCGGTGGTACAGTGATAGCGTATGCGACTGCTGCGCTGTGGCCTCGGCTTCGACTCCCGGGTCGGACCAAGTATTTGTGTCATCTACAAACATTTGTTTTCGATTTTTGGTGTTTTCCATGTATAATATGTGTGTATTTACAAAAAAAAGTAAATAAGTTTTTAATAATCAATTTAGCTTTCATAGAACAAGCTCTGCTTAGTTTGAAACTAGATAGTGTTGTGTGTCAGATGTCCGAAAATATTATTATTATATTATAATATTACCTAACCTACAAGATATTTTGGTAATAAAACACCCTATTAAACATTTATTAATAAAATAACTACTCTTATATACAGTTATTTTTCTCTCAACCAACAGTTTAAACGAGATCAATTAATCCTTGATCCCGATTTCCATTATTCCATAAGTAAAGCTTATATAAAACTGTGACATAAATATTAATTCTTCGATGCACACAAAAGGTGGCAGGAACAGAAATACACCCGAGGGTAAACGGCACTTAATTTAACCATTTCTCAATATTAATTATCAAAACAGCCCCCTGGCCGTTGCATCGTGCATAAATAACAAAAAAAAAAGTGACGTGTACGCAAGCGCGCTCGCTCGCTCACTCGTCACGGCGCTCGACTCCGACGATTACATTAGCATCCCCTATCCGAAGCTTAAACGAGACTAAGGGAGGCGATTTATCACATGTTTAAAACGTAACCTCGCGTATAAATTGTTTAAAATCCATAAAAGCGGGCGCATAGACATCACCTGTCGTTACATAACCAGAGCGAAGGGAGCGAACGAGACTCATCGCTTTTATATGCAGATTCTTGAATAACTTAAATTTTATAACATAGGTACTAGTAAACAAAGCGGATCGCATATGTCAAGGCAGATAGCTCAAACGGTGTGTATGGATTTTTATGTGTGTAAAATACAACTTCTGACATACTTTTGTAACAGAAAATCCAAACATGTGTCATACATTTTAATACCTACATACTAAATCATTTCTTCATATTTATATTATATGTGTCTATCTGTCTTTCTGTCTGTCTGTCTCTTACATCTTCACGCTTAAACCGCTAAATCGATTTACATGAAATTTGGTATACCTAGAGATAGTCAGAGATTGGATAAAAAGTACCCTATGTTCTTGACCCCGGGCAAGAACATAGGATAGTTTTTATCCAATAAATCATCCTTAAAGGGGTGAAAAGGGGGGTGGAAGTTTGTATGGGGCATCAATAACCGCTGAACCGATTTAGATGAAATTTGGTATTGACATACTTTTATTATTGAGGAAAAACATAGGCTACTTTTTATCTTACCAGGAAAAAGCTAGTTTATAATATAGGTAAGTATGATAATTTTGTTTTTTAAATTTTAAAATTAAATCGGTATTTGGAAACCTGTTGGTTTCTAAATACCGACTTATACCTAACTAATGGTCTATTAATAGATGGTATCGTGTTGTTTCATTTTATAGAAGAACAAAAATATAATTTTCTGCAAATTGTGAACAAGGAAATTGTCTGATTACCTAAGAACAAACAAGTTTTAGTTCAATGGTAAGTATTAGTAGTTGGACATGTTTTTATGAGTACCTAGTTGACAAGTTAATAGGACACGTTTAGTTCGTAAACTGACGCACTAAAAAAAAAATACCTACCTATGTTGTTTTGTTACATTTTCATGTGTAACCTCCTATGGGACATCACCTCATCGGGGGCGAGGGTGAAGTGATATGGCGGCTTCGAACCTACTAAAACCGCACTGTGTACCATCACAAGCGCGTCTAACATATATAGGTAAGTTTATGTATGTTTATATAAGTTTATGTAAGTAGTTTGATAAAATTCAAATAGGTACATAAAAATTTAAAATGCAATCCGCAGCACAGAAATGTTATATTACTCAGTATTACGTGTCTTGTGGTTTAAAATGTGAGAATTCTCATTTTTAACTTAAATAACTTCTGTTTTCAGTTTCTCATCCAACAAAACTTTTTTCTCCTAGCAAATACTAAGCCGTTATTAAGGAATGCATTTTCAAGGTCCAGTTGAGAAGCCTTTACTTTTTCCAACTTATTCGTTCGACGATTGCACAGCAACTGATCAACGATGTACCGATAGATTTCTAGCGGGAGCTGGCTCTTTGATTAGCCGAAAATCGCAATCTAGGTCAAGGATGGATTTTAGTAGAAGTGTGTTGGTCGCGGTAGCTATCACATGTTGAACGTGGTATGTTCAATAGTACTGTGCTAAACTGCTTAATGGTAATGATGTGTGCGGGGCGTCGCGGGCGTGATGCGGAGGCGGCCGCTCGCCCCGCCCGCGCCTCGCTCCGCCTACACCGCGCTCGTTGCCGCCAGATATTATAACGAGAATGCCAACTCGGCGGACAAACCACATCTCCCCCTGGGACTATCATTACTGATGTGATTGACTGTGCACTTAACTCTTGTTGGTTTATGTTCGTGAAACGAGCACTCACTAATAACTATTTATCTATCCCTTTAATTACATACTGTATATAAACTTTAAGCGGTGGCAGCATTATGGTTAATATGTCAAACTTGCTATCAAACGGTTGCAAGTTTGAATCCATCTGAGTACCTATACTACCAACATCAGCTTAGTGCAAGCAATTAGCTACCTAATTATTACGAATTTTTACTCTCACTCACTAAGTATAGGTACTAGCACTTTTATAAAAAGCTTTTAACTTTTTTTTAACGTTAATAATCCTCCTATTAGCTGTAGTGATGCATAATGAACTACAAAAAAAGTGGTTATTACTTATAAGTAAAGTTCTCATCTCTATGCAGGGGCACCTCAGTACCAGCTTCTCCCTCTGGACCGCATCCAACGAAGAGCGACTGGAATCGTCGATAGCCCAAACATCTCTGATCGGCTCGATCCCTTGGCGTTACGTAGAGATGTGGCTTCACTCTGCATTCTCTATTGCATATATCATGGAGAGTGCTCATCACCTGAATAGTTGGCGCTCCACTACTGTAGGTACCAATCAGTGGTACGGGTTATCGTCTGCGGTATTTCCGGACCGATACAACCTTCATACCTTCAAGAAAAGAGCGTACCTACTCCTTCCTAAAATGCCGTCAACGCGTCTTTCGTCGGTTTGATTCCGACTTACCACGTCGCCGTGAGCCCTGGTGAGGTGACGACCCGTAAGAATTTTCACACAAAGAAAAAGAGTAATTAGATATTGCTGATAACAATGATGATTGATTAATTGATGAATGATTGATTTAAACGCCAGTAGGCAAAATATCGTTTATACAATCTAGTACCATATTTGTCCATTAGTTACCAACTCCGATTTACAAATCTACTAATACGTAGACAAGAACAAAATATTTTTAAAACTAAAATATTATTTTATTACTTAACTGTTATTTGTAAATATTTCTATAAGTATTCTGTTTTATTATTTTCAAAAGTATTCTGTTTTTGATAGTACAGGCCTCAGAGTTAGTTACGGATGTAAACCTAAAGCAAATACACTAGCAAAAGACCGGCAAAAGTATTTATCAGTTATCAATATAACAACAACATTATTCACATAAAGATGCTCATTCGTTAGGTATCCATCAATTTTGTTGCCAAACAGCTAAATCTTAAGAAACAGCAAAAGAACCGCTTAGCGCGCCATCTGTTATCGAATAGCGGACAAAATGCAACTACTATATTTTCTTATTCGCTATTTCTAAAATCTAAGAGGCGTGCAATGGGAGAGGCCTATGTGCAGCAGTGGACTGCGATAGGCTGATGATGAAGATGATGATGATTTCTAAAACTATTATTCCAATAATAACCAGTTATGCTAATTTTCTTGCCATCATAGGACTAGTTTAGGTAAGCACAAGTTCTGAACGTTATAGACATAGCAACAATTCAGTTTAGATTGTTCTGTATGTTCATTCAACAAATAAAACTGACTAAGATTACAGGACATTATACATACATACAATGATAATATATATTGATTGATAAATAAGTGCCTCGATCAATAAATAAAATATAAATATATTATATGTTTATAAAATATAGATGCTTTGAGCCGTTCTCATAAGACAGCTGGATCTAAGATAAATTGTAATAGGTATGCGATAAATTAGTAATAGGTACACAATTCTATTTGCGAATACCTGTTAATAGCTTTCTTGTTACATTATTATACGTAATGTTTACCTGACGCTATTTGTGCTGTTGGTATTCCGAACAAAATAAAAGAAATTAATTAATTAATTGATAATTTCATGTAATAAAACAAGCGTATTTGTAACAAGATTTATTATAAATATTATTTATTTTCACATGATTACCTAAAATAAGTCGACAACTGTAAAGGATTCACAAATCTCGGGGGTAGGATATAGACCAATATAAGAATAAAATTTTTCTTTACATAATAATAGTTGGTTGCTTATTTTTGTTTACAACTTGGATGTGAGTTCGGGAACGGCCTTGAACAGATCGGCGACAAGACCGTAGTCGCTTACCTAAAACAAAAAATACAGGATTCATTTACAATTTCATCTTTAATTTAACTAGCTGTTCACCTCGGCTTCTCTCGCATTATTGTTTCCTATTTTGTATTTCTAATATTACTTTGGTGTACTTTCCTGATTTTACTAAGGTGTGAAATTTCCAAAAATCCTTTCTTAGTGGGTGACTGCTTACAACATTGTACTGTGTTGCGTTACCTATAATTAACCTTTTATAGTTATCACTTGCCAAAACAATATCGCCAAAACAGCTCAGAATAAATTATGAAACCATGTCAAAACTTACTGAGTATACTAAAACCGTTTTTTTTTTAATTTTGTTTACCTGGAAAATAGGTGCCTCAGGGTCCTTATTGATGGCGACAATTGTCTTTGAGTCCTTCATACCAGCCAAATGCTGGATAGCACCGCTGATACCTACAGCAATGTATAGATCCTGAAAAAAAAATGGTTTAGTAAGTCTCAACTAGTACTTAAAACTTTTTTTGGATTTATTGTTTCGATAATAGATTTTCAAATATAAAAAAAACTTTATTTTTGACAGAATAAATAGAAAAAGTATTTATATTTCATATATACTCACAGGAGCGACAATCTTGCCAGTCTGACCAATTTGCAAATCGTTGGCTACGAATCCGGCGTCGACTGCAGCGCGAGACGCTCCCACAGCAGCGTTCAACTTGTCTGCTAGATCGTACAACAGCTTGAAGTTATCACCAGACTTCAGACCGCGACCTAATCAGTTAATAAAATACATAATGGTCATTACTCAAAACTTAAATTACAATGTTAGAATCAAAATGAACATTGAGGTTTGGTTATGTTATACCCTGCGATAAGTTTTTATGAGACTATGTAATTGTAAACTCAAAGGTACATGAAACGGTTTGTACCGGAGCAATGACCCACTATCACACCTCATAATATCTCCACCATTGTACTCATATTTGTGCATAAAGAATTAAAATTAAAAAAATGGTTGGCTGCAGCCAAACAAGTGATAATGAATTGTTCTATATGTATGTATATATTTATACTATGATAAGTTTAATAAGGAATGATTAATCAGAAGTTATGAAGTAGTTTATGTTGTTTTTTTCTAAATAATACACAATGATATGTCCATATTGGCAGCAATACATTATGGCTTAGTTAGATCATTATGTAACTAAAAATCAACAGATCACCTTGTTTGACATAATCACTTTTCATCATCATCACGTTTAGGAAGGAACACTAAAGTCAAATTTTACCTTAAAAAAGAACCAAGCTAAAAATAAGATTGGCTACTTAAGAAAAATATTCAGGAGCTCAAAACTTTAGTTTAGTTAAAAAGTACATGGTAGTAGTAGTATTAATCAATTAATTATTCAATCAAATGGATAATTAATCAAAATATGATGATGATGATGATGAAGAATAAATAGCAAAGTACCAATTATACTTTATCTAAATTATTAATTTGAAATTAATATTTATTAATTAATTGTAATTAAATATTTGATCAATTATCCATTTGATTGAATAATTAATTGATTAATACTACTAATACCATGTACTTTTTAACTAAACTAAAGTTTTGACCATCATCATCATCATGATGATGAATCATCATCATGATGATGATGAAGAATAAATAGTAAAGTATTATTATTATTCTTACTATGTATTAATTATTTGTTAAAATTTGAATTTGAAATTTTAATAAATATACTAATAGTGTACAAGTTAGTTCATGCCTAATGTGTCACTAATGTAATCACATCTTACCTCCAGAAATAATATTTTTGGCACTAGTCAGCTCAGGTCTATCAGACTTGCTGAGCTCTTGGGACACAAACTCGACAAGGTCACTTTTGTAATCTCCCTCAGGTGCCTTTTCAACTGCAGCAGAGCCACCTTCCAGCGGCTCAGGCTGGAATGCAGTGCTTCGAACTGTGATCACTTTGATTGCATCTTTAGCTTCCAAAGTGAGAACAGCATTACCTGAAGTGTAAAGATTTCCAGTATTTTATATTGAATAATGTTTTAATGTGCATATACAAAATGTGTGTCGGTATTTTTCTAAAAAAATCCTTTGTTGATACAAATTAATAGAAGGAAACTTGAAGAACAGTGACTCCAAATACAAGTGTATACTTATATCTATAGTCACTTCAATGTACCTATTGTATATAATGTAATGTAACCGACTGTTAGGGCCAGTGCAGACCGAGAGGAGGGCGGCAGAAGGAACACTAGAAAAAAAACTTGAAAATTAATGTTATAAAGTGCATATATATATGACCCGAGGTTGTGTAAGGATTTTTTTGTCATGTTCAAACATATATTCACTATATAAAAATAGTGTCAAAGTTTATTTTCGAGTGTCTTAAAAAATTCTCTCTGAGATGCTCCTCTCGGTCTACGCTAGCCCTTACAGATGACTGTCAAATTAGTTTAATTTAACTGAACATCAAAATGATAAATGCAATACATTTTAATATGTAATACTATGGTGTGACTTCATACCTAGCTATAGTCAAATCATTTGTATTTAATGATAATTCGAAGAAATAAAAATATAAAATGATAATTGAGAATAAATGAGATTATACTTCAACTCTTAGGACGTGGCGCGCGGATGACCTATGACCCGTTACTGTCGCGCCCTTGAACCCTAGTGACCCAGTCCCAGACCCAGAGCGAAGTCATTATTACCTCAATATCTACGTTATTTTATAATTATATTCAATGAAATAAACATATTTGGAATCCCTGATATATATTCTTCTAAACTTAATAACTGAGACGCTACCGCGTAAAAATTTGGTGTCACAACTCTTGTGACGGCGGAGGTTAAGATCTTATATTTACTAATCAGACGAAATTAAATTTATATATTTTATAATATATTATATTATAATATTCATATTTTAAACCTAGGAATCTAACCTATTACCTGCATAAATAGTCCTGATGAATGTATTTGCATCTTTAACCCCAATAATATCTGTAATAGGTGAGACATCAAGCTTAGCAGCTACTCTAGGCAATACAGCCTTGCCAAAAGCAGTGGCTGGAGCCAAGATATGCGTGAAGTTGAACTGCTTCTGTGTGGCTAAAATGAGGGGTGTCAGGCTTTCAGCAGTGAAACCCTTGAAGGCATCACTTTCTGCAACTAGGACCTTAGAAATTCCATTAGCTTTGGCTATCTTCTCTGCAGCCTGTAAAATAGTAAGTGTTGATAAATACAGTGTGCTTAATACTATTAATAAGATATAAGGTGTTGTATGAGGAGTAGGCAAATTAAGAAAAAAATTGAACATCTGACTGATGTGAAACATCAAAATTATTTACCATATACATCACATAGTGTGGTGATGCATGCCATAGTGACACATTATCACATCAACAGAGGATCTGACCCTCCCCATTAGATATTTCACATTACTTGCATTTAAATTGTGATTTTTTTCCGCATACAACTTATGTCATTTACTTGTGTCACTTAGGAAAGATTGCCTAACAAGTGTTAGTATTTAATTTACTAGATCATTATTTATGACAATTTATGGAACTTACTTTAATGAAACTTTTTAAAACTCATGCAACACTCAACACATGCAAAGAGCAATAAACAATAAATAGTGGATTTAAGTTTAATTAAGTTAAAACATTTTTACTACAAAGTATTTCAGACTTTTTATTTCACTTAATACAACTTAGTAATTAATGTTTATAAGTATAAATATCATCAACAGCCTTTATTAGTCCACTGTTGGACATAGAGCTCTCCTTAGAAAGGAGGTTTTGGCAAACTATACTATGCTGGCCAGATGGGTTGGCATAGGGTTTGTTTTAAGTTTTTCTTCTCTTTGCAGAGCTGTTGTTCAGTATATTTTGCACCCTTAGTCAACTCTACCTATAAGTATAAATATAGCACATGTCTATAAAACTATATGTTAATACTATATACTTTAAATTATCTAATATTGAATGTCTAATGAATCAATAATAAAAAGTTATTATATTTATATCTAAAAAAGGACTTACAGGTCCACACTTAGTTCCTGCTACCAAAACAGAAATATCCCCACCAATTTTCTTAGCAGCACTTAAAGTGTTTTGCGTAGCTGCTGATAGCACTTCATTATTATGTTCTGCAACTACCAAAGTGCTTTGTAGTCTCCTCAGCTGAAAATAACACCAATAAAATAAATTATATGACAATACTAGCTGAAAAGAAGAGATTAATAAAAAAAATTATCTGACATTTAACCTATTTCCTGTATGACTTTTTCAAATGAATATTTTATGACAGAAACAAATTAAAAAGTTGATTATCGTTTCAACACCTAATGAATGCATAGAGTGCTTTATAATTATCGTCATTATATAACTCGATCATTAATAATAATTACCTACTTAGCGATATCCCAGAGGAGACGACCTCCAAGCCAACTAATTGTATTATCAGTAGAATTTAGTAAAATAACAGTAACCTTAATTTGAGTTTATAAATTAAATTTCACCATTAAATAGTTGAACTTTTTAAATCATTAATATTATATATTACTTACCTGAGTCGACAAGAATAAATGCCTGCTTGAGGGCGAGAACATTTTAAAGATGATTACGAACTAGTTTCTGAATATGTTACTAGATGTTACAATACCTATGCTTAGAAACTTGAAAAAAACTAATTTTCAGCACAGGTTACAAAGTCCAATTTACTTTTGTTTTCAATCCGACTATTGTGCGAAGAGCAACATTCATTGGGTGCGTGGATGACATTGACAGGAGGGCGCAAGAGTGTATTTATTTACGATAACCAGCTTACAAAATCTTCTTGTTTAGTGAATACATTAAGTATTAATGGCTAATATCATTTTCTGAAGTTAGGACAGAATGAGAGACAAAACATTTGTTTAATTGTACGGAGGTGGTTATCAACGTCTCAGCTATATTTATATCACTCATTTAGAACAGTGGAAGCTCATTTTCTACCTCCATAATGATTGAAGTTTGGGGTAAAAATGTGGGGTAAAAACGGAAAAACTATTTATATTGCAACACTAAAGTGACCTTTTTTAATTATGACATGCATGGAGATGTGATGGAGATTCGAACTATATTTGACACGTTGCATTGATCAAGCTGTCTATCTGATGTTTTTCTCTCTTAGGTATAGTAGAAGGTATACAAGAAAAAACTCATTCTACGTCTTCTAAATCATATCCTGTAAAATTTAATATTTTTATAATATTTAAAATAATATTAATTTGCTAATGAATTAAGTACAGCTAGTTTCTGTAGCTATTTTTTCAATTTTTTTAATAACTTGAATACTATTGATTGTACAGAAAAAAGACTGGTCTCATCTTATTTCTTATCAAATTCTCTTAAAATCATACGCTTCAATCATGCAAATATAGTTACATGAGGTACTTTATTCCAAAATAAAATTAATTTAATTTGACTTTTGGATATATTTAATTATTTACTCGATATAAAAATTAAGAAAAAGCAAATGTGATTCTATTAAATTTAGCAAGTTAATTAATAAAACACCAACTGTGAGTGACTCTTTGATAAGGCTACGTCGGTACGCGCTAATACATAATTACCAAAATAAGGCGACGCGTTAACAATGAATACCTACCAAATTATTTTTAACATACCGACTAGATTTGCAAATAAAGAAATTTTAAGGTATGAAATTGGCTGCAATCTTTTAACTCGCGAATAGTGAAAATGTGAATAAAGAACTTGTACTGTATTTTTATACTTTTATTGTTTTCCATACCTACTTTTAGTAAAGAAAATGATAGTGGGATGCTTAAGTACTGACCACAGTACACAATAACTCTAAAAACTAATCCAATGTATAAAAAATATATAGTTAGTTTTTTGCAAACATTTGTATGAGAGTATCAGACTGACAACGACAGGTAGGTGAAAAATCTAGGGGCAAGTATCTACTAAGCACTAGCAACCCAAGCAGAACAAATACTTGATTATTTTTTACTGATAAACGAAAGTTTAACATTCGTTGCAGATAAATTTAAAAAAAACTTTTACGAGTAGATGTACTTAACTAGATACTATATAATAACAGTTATATGAAATAATGTATTTTCACTTATGACCATAAGAAATATTAACGTGTACTTAACAAGTGTTTCCTACTCAATAAAATTGTTCCCTTGTTAATAAAGGAATTCTCCACGATTTTTTACATTAAATATGAAAAATCTGTATTCGAAATCTGGTAACACTCAATACTTGATAACTTAAGTAGTTAAGTTCATTGTAAATACTTTTTGTGCTTAATTCAATTGTCTTAGTTTTTCTTGATAACTGAAAGTGTACACGATCATATTTGTAATTATTGTATTACATTCGTGTTAAAGATTAAAAATGTCCTCATTCCCAATCGTATCAATAACGCGACGTGAAACTTTCAGTTCTTGTCACCGACTCCACAGGTATAAAATAATACCTTAACAATAATTATATGTAAATAATACAAAACAAGATTATATTAAAGATTAGAAATCTGTTTAGAGAATTAGTTCCATTCAATTAAATTTAACTAGACTATAAGAAATAGACGGTGACGTTGTTGATCGGCCTGAAAATTGTTTCCATATGGGCCGGTAAACTCCGATCAGTAAGTTTGATGTGTAAATGAATTCAATAGTACTGTCTGTTAAGTTGAATCAAAAGAAAGTCGGGAGTAGCTTACGCTTGATTACGCTAAATGACATTTACTTAAATTAAAAAAAAAAGTTTTTGTCTATATTATAGGCATTATTTATAATTATACACATTGAATGCGTGTGTTTTTTTTTTATTTCAGCCCGTTTTTAGGAGACGAAGAAAATAAAAAACTTTATGGTAAATGTAATAACCCTAATGGACATGGACACAATTATGTTGGTAAGTTTATGTAGAAACCTATTTTTCTGCTTAGCTTGTATATGTATCAAAATTTAGGTAAAGAATTTTATTGTTAGATTTTGATGGCTAGAAAGTTATATCCCATATGCCACATGATTGGGTTGACAATGGCCACCTACTACTACACACATACACTGAAAAAACAACATGTTTGTATTTATTTTACAATTGATATAGTATAAGATTGTAAACAAATTAATATTAAATCACATGTGCCACATTGTTATTACATTGCAATCTCCTTGGTAGTGCTCAAACAAGACACTTTTTGAAAACAACTTTTCACTGCTTTTTCAAAATTAAATGTTGCTGTGATGTTTAATTTCTACTCCAAAAGATTATGATATGTGAAATCATAAACATTTTTAAGCATGTGTAGTCAAAAATATTATTTGCTTGTCACTTTAAGCCTCCTTTACAAGATAGTTTTGCACACAATTCAATTAGATTCAGAAATAAGTTTGGTCATGTGAAGTCTAATTAAAAAATTTGATGCAACTAGATAGGATGGTCCACCTTGCTCAATATATAAATTTCTCTTGTGGTGATCATAGGTAGACCTAAATAATATTTTTTAATAATTCCATTTGTTTACTCTCTCACTCGACTTTGAATTTACTGGTAGGCTTTAATAAGAACTTACTGTACTTATTAAACCTTAAATTTTTGCTTTATAATTTTAAAGCTATAGGTAAAATATCTCTACTTAGCATAGGTGTAAAAAGTATTTTCTTTGACTTTTTTTTTTATTTACAGTCTTGGTGACAGTTAAAGGCCCTGTAGACCCACACACGGGTATGGTTATGAATGTACATGATCTCAAGCAATACATGCAGATTGCAATTATGGATCCCTTGGACCACAAGAACTTAGATCATGATGTCCCATATTTTAAAACAGCGGTAAATATTTAATTTTTTAAATGGGTATTCTAACTTCTGTGTTACTTCAATTATGTTAAGAAGTGTGTTCCTATGGGCTTGTCCACAACAACACGTCACGATGTCGTCAACGTGGAACACTGCGGTTTCACGGCGCGGCATCTTCACGTGACGTAGAAATTTACGTTACTGTGTCATGAAAACCTGAACCATCATGAACCACAAACCTGTGAAATATCGGTCTCTTTCTAGATATGGACAGCACCACACGTCTTCTGCTCCTGTTTTAGTAGTAAAAAGAAAATACTGGGTGCACCCATATCTTTCAATTAGGAATAGTGATGGAGGTTATTTTAATATAAAATACAGGTAAACAAAAACATGTGGCCACAAGTCCGTCATTCTGAGGCGACGTTCCCGTACCGTGTATTAGCATTTCAAATCAACGTACCACGTTAATAATATCGTAATGTGATGTTGCGAACAAGCTCTTTGTGATAAGTTAAATTTTCGACATTATTAAAGGAAATCAATTAGTCTAAACGAAATGTTTTAAAGTCAATAAAATAATGATTTCAAATGTTATGCAATATTACAACCAAGCACAATAGGTCAAAAGGTTATCAATATCTAAACATTCTTAACTTGATAATTGAAACATTTTTTTTGTTAGTTTGACTATTAGAGATATAAAATTCTTATACACATTAATAAATTATTTATTCATTGTCCTTGAATGAACAAAGAGATAACATTTTTTTTATGAATTCATTGTAAAAAAAAAATAAGTAAAATAAAATAAGCAAATCTGTTACAGAAAGACAACAACACTATATGGTTTTTTGAATGAACACCTATAAAATTTATCAACTGTTGATAGTCAAACTCTTTTTTTCACTGGCGATTTTAATTTGTTAGTTTCCTGGTAGTATAATAATTTTTCAAACAATACCAGTACTGTTACACTGCAAGCATTTGGTGTTTTATGTCTGCTATGTGTTATTGATATATTCCAGAGAGATATCCATTTTAATAAAGCTTAAACAACACAATTGTTCCGCATGAAAGTCTGTAGTCAGGGGGTGGGGCTTAGGTAGGTCGGGGTACCAGAGCTTTTCTTTCTAGGGTATAACTGGTTCTCCGGCTACTAGTGCGAGACTGGTGGAGACAGCGTGCGGTTTTTGGTCAGTTCGAATCCGACATAATCACCCACTGGTGGGTGGTATCTGAGGGGAGTTCCGCACAGGAAATAAAAAGGGGTTTGATCAGTTAACAACGATACGTCACTATTTTTCTAATGTGAATTGACTATAGTGTATCTGCTAAAAAACAAGACAGAGTTTATCAACTTTTTAACTACCTCTTTACAGGTAAGCACTACAGAGAATCTGGCAATATTTATTTGGGACCAATTACAAAAAGTAATGGAGAAACCACAACTGCTCCATGAAGTTAAAATACTAGAGACTGAGAAGAACCATGTAGTATACCGTGGAGGATCCACCTACCCTAGGAAAAAGCTTGACAACAGCTCTCTTCACCCCAACAATCAACATAATGTCTCTTCAGATTCTGACTAGTTGTTATTAAAAATATTATGCAATATATTGTATGTTTGTTATATGTGCTTTATTCGTGAATTGTTGTAAACACTTGTTAACAGAACTGAATTATACATTTTACATAACTCTAATTAATCTTATTAAAACCCTTCTATCATCTTATAAAGTTGCTGCATGATGTAAATTTAAATATATTTGAGTTGGAAGTTTTATTGACTGCACGGATGGCGTAGTGGTTTAAGCGGTCGCCACGCCGCTTCCTACTACGCCGAGTGTTGTGGGTTCAAACCCCACATGGGACGACACTTTGTGTGATCCACAAATTGTTGTTGTGAGTCTGGGTGTTCTTTGTGTCCGTTTCATGTATGTTTGTAAAGTCCCCCGCGTCACAGAATTTATTCCTAATGCGGGAGTTGTCTTTTTAAATAAAAAAGAAAAAGAAAGAAATTTGGCAGAATGCTCATTCTGCCAAATAAAACTTCCAACTCAAATATATTTAAATTTAATGATCACTGGCTCAACTGAATGACTCTTGTATGTAGTTTGATACGCTTCGTGCTAGAAACTATTTTTTTAATAGGAACCCGTTATATATGGAATAATTAGGTCTGTATACGTTTTAGAACGACACCGCATACGCTTTTCTTTTAATCTTGCGTGAGGAATCCAACTCGGACTATTACCCCACCATTAAGTACTCGATTAGTCAGACAGATATAGGGAGCTATATAGAAAAACAAACAAGTGCCTTCAGATATAATAAGGGTTACTGGATGGTAACTAACCTAGATTAGCGTAGGTAATGTAATATGATACTGCAATATAAAAATAACCGTATTTTTAGTAGCATTGTCTTCTGAAATGTGGTAGTCAAGTAAATATTTTTCCTGGTTATTTATATGCATTTAAAAGTTTTGGTTAATTTGTTTAACTAACACTAATTGCTTTATTTTTTGTAAGTATTAAATGACACTTCAAATTGTTTAATTTGTCGTAGGATTTCGTCGTTGCTGATTTGATTATTGAAAGTAGCAAGTGGAAATTATTTAAATGTGTAGCGTTACCACTAAGCCCCTTAACCTTGCAGTCATAATATTAGTAATAATAATAAGTAAACATAAAAATGCATTTATTTAGGTAAAATATATGAATGTACATTTATAGGCAATAAAAATATAATAAAAAATAAATGATAAAAACCATAAATTACAATATTATATATGGCAAGATGCTTGGTTAAAACAAACGAGACGAAGCTTTTTTTTAACAGACTTCAAATACAAAGGCGGTTCTCAATTGGTAGATGACAATGGCATGTATTCATGCCATTGGATGCGCAATAGCGAGGTATTCCACGCTATTGTCAAATCATTTATAATTATTAATTTGCATATATAAAACATTTAATTGATAATGGGGGACAATTTCTGTACTGGTTAAGATATAACATTTAGTTTACATCTGCATATTAAAAAAAAAGTTTTTTTTTTTATATTTGTTACCTCAATTTTCCTTTATTTGTGCACCGATTTGCATTTTTTTTTATTTGTAAGGGTTTACTTCCCGCACGTTCCCTTCCCCACTTCAAGCGGTTTGGTCCCATTCAAGATAAAATACAGTTTATAACGATGAAGGCGCATTGAAGTTGGTAATACTTTTTAAAAGTTTCACCGACTTTAATGAAATCTTTGGTAAATAAAGTAACTATTCAATCAATGCGGGTAATGCTTTTAAACCTTGCCAAAAAAAACAAACATACAAGCACATTCTTTCTTAAAATTGTTAAATTTCATAAATAAATTCGGAGACACGTACGGGATTTAGCAAAAAAAGTCTGGAGTTATATAGTCCTTTTATTTATAGGTACACAATTTTAATTTAATACATAATAAAATAATACTATTTTAAACCATATGACACAAATATTCATGTCTTTAGTAGAGCCCTCTAATGAAATATCAGTTTGAATTAGGAACTGACCGAAACGAAAGCTGCTTTTTCAACCATTGTACCATGTACAATAATTGTAACATTATAGATAGATATTTCCCCGGGATATAACGTAGCTAGGTTTGAGCGCTCCCCAGAGTAGATTTTAGTGTGGATTTTTTAATGGAAAAACAACCTCCTGACCTGTGTTCCCAAAGAGCCGAAGATCCGAAGGGATTTTTCACCCCGTCACCAAAAAAAGTGTAGGTTAGGTATTATACTAGAAAATAACCCTAGTCTTTCAACAGGGACCCATTCAAATGATGTTAATCCCGATGAAGACTGATTCTAGCCTTCCACCAGTAGCACAGTGGGATATCTCTATCCGCTTCACTCGATTTAATTCATTTGTTGTTCATTGTTGTCGTCATAAAGAAAAATGATAAAGCTCACATAATGTAATTATAACCTTAGTTTCGTAATTTTTCTTTCTCTTTGTATCTTATTAGAATCTAGAACGAATCAACGAACCAAAATATCTAATCTACAGATATTTATGGACGATAAAAATGATAAGGAACTATAGTGCGACAAAGGAGTTTTGGAGAGTGGTTCGCCTACAACTCTGCTCTCTCAGAACGTTACAAAACTGCGTAGATTATTTTAATGGATTTTATTTTGCAACAATTTCATTTATGGAATGAACCGTCAATTTTAAATACGGGGATTTTACCTAAACTACTTTATCAATTCCTTTACCCCTTTTTTAAATACTTTTGAAAATCAAGCTAAAATTGGAATTACTTAAATCAAAATATTATAATATTTCGTCGTAGACGGTTCGGTGTAACATGTTTCATCCATTAATTGCTGAACAGTACATCCAATTCTTTATATCATAAGTAAATAGTGGTACACAAATTACTGTTAGGCACTCTATCTTAGGACATGGAACTTAACAATATTTTATTTTGTACTGCTTAATACAATTTAGTCCAAAACCCCTTAAACCAATCTAGCTAATATGTAAAAACAAAATATTTATACGAATTGATTGTCTCGGGATAACAATATGCACCTACATAATTAATCATAGGCATACTGACGTGGCCTACATTAATATCTCAGATATATTTCTAATCACAAAGTATTAATAGACTGCTTTAAAAGCTGTATCACTGTACCTAATGCCTAGAAGACCGCTCTTGCCAACATTTCAAAATATGTCTTAGAAAGTTAGAACTTCGAAAGTTAAATATTTGAGAGCGACCGTTATAATAAAGTTTTTGATTACAAAAAAAAGTAATTTAAAATCACTTGTAAATGTAACAATAATGATAAGTTACCAATCACAGCTAAATATTGTAAGTTAGTCACTTTTTTCTTAATGAATATCTCTAGGAATCTTGTAAACAAGTCGTTTAAGTTATATAAATACAGTCATAATGTTTTTTGAATTAACACTATGTCACATGTAATAAAATAAAGTACATGAAGTTAATTTAAAAAAGTTAAATATAAATAATTATAGGTAATAGGAAGCCAATTTAAATTTGGGTCTAATTGCACACACGTCTCCAGCCGATAAGAAATATAATAATATAATACACTTTAATAACATCTTAAAAGACAGTTTTAGAAACTGTGCAGCTACTCAAAAATAAACCTTAAAGACTTACTAAATTGCCAAATTAGAATCTTTTTTGCATGGATCTTTAATGGACACGTAAGGGATTCCTAATTCAAATTCGTTTACTGGCCAGTATCTTAATTGAGGTTTCTGTTCGGGTCTTTCTTCTGTAGCGTTGAAGAAGGCGAACAGCACGAGCATCGTGTAGCTGGCGATAAAGCTCAGGACGTGCCAGACTCCGTGCATGTAAGGAAAATCGATAGAGAGCCAAGCATCGCAAAACATACGATCCATGAACCAACAGAATATTGCAAGTAAAGTGACGGCAGAACACCGCAAACCAAGCCGAAACACACGTGCACATTTCACTCTGAAATTAAAAAAAAATGTTTTAGTAAACAAGTTACTGGTTGCTATTGTTAAAGTAGTCAAAAAATCTATTGATTGGAAAGAGTTTTTAACATAAGGCTGCCCAAAGCATATGCTGTCATAAAGAAATACCAGCTCACCAACTAGAAAAATCAGTTGACCATTTCGTTTGTTTAAGGTTGCCTTAAAATAACAATGTTCTCTCGAACTCCAAAACGAGTATTACTACATAATTATTTTAACTATTACAAAAAGCGAAAGTGAATTTGTCTGGTTTTTACTCGTTCAAGCCTTAACTAGTCAACCGACCACCATGATGTTTTACATACAACATAGAGTAGATTTGGTGGTTAATGGTGAAAATTTAAATCAATGCGCGTAAACACGCGAACTAAAGCTAGTTTTAAATATAATCCAGATCAATACAGTGACGATAAAACCGGAGATAAGGCAATCTAAACGACTGATTGATTAGTAAATTATTATCGTTTTGTGTACCTAAAATTACAAGTCAATTATAAAACAAGTAAACAAAAGAAATACCATGGTATAAAACTCAAGGACACATATGATGTCATAAAATGTCGCAAGCAATTGAATCCAAGTTAGAGTTATATCGCTTTGTGTACAATAAGAGATAGAAATTAATTACCTAAACCTTTGATTGTCCTCATTTACCAGCATAATTTTAGGAATCTCATCATTGCGTTTAAGTCTATAAGTACTTAATCTAAGGACTACAATTATGCAGGAATTACCTAATCAACTCGGTGTATAATATTCTGAGAGTAGGTACGGTGAGGGTCATCAAGGCGAAGGCGTTGGCCGCTGGGTGCATTATCAGACATACCATTAACACAATCCCCATTGAAGTTGACACTAAGGCCATACGGCGTCTGAAAAAAAGTGATCAAAGTGGTTGGAGTTGTGTAGGATCACAACTAGTGATATAAACTTAAATATGTATTCACTCGGTGACATGCAAAGGACGAACTGCTTAAAACTAGTGACCAGGGCCTCAATTCTGCTATTTTATGTTAACGCCAAGCTACTGTCATTCCATTGACACACTATTGAGATGCCATTGACATCGGTCAAAATATCAGTATTCTACTAACATAAATTCACAGTGGCAATAGACTGACGATATAGTAATATAGGTCATCAATGGTGATATCAACAATAGTGCCATACCTTGAAAATGAAATATATCATTTTCTTACAAATCTAAAATGTACCGTTTACCAAACTGTTACAAAGACATCGACGACATTTGTATCAGTGACAAGTCATCGGGAGGCCATTGGTCTTACATAGTAGTGCAAAACTATTATGACGACAGTCTATTGATACAATATTAAAATAGCAGAATTGAGGCCCGGTTCTGTAAGGCCGCTATATTACTCCAACTTTATTCCGACTTATTATTATAGACCCAAGTGTGAGACTATTTCACGTCAACTCGATCGTCACGGTGAGCGCATTCGGCGCTGCGATTTGTCCACACTGAAATCTGCACCAATCGCAACGACGAACGCGCTCGCGTACGGGCGAGTTCATGTAAAATAAACTTGCACTAGGCCCTTTGTATGTGAAGGAGCATGGGTCTCACACGATTCCTTCAGCACTGTGGGAACCACTAGTTTATATCTTATTTTTGGTTGCATGCAAATGTCACAATGCTAAATTCACTTAGGTACTAACTATGTATATAACTAGTTTAAATCTATCTTAAGGATCTCATCTAGAAAGAAAAATATATAGATGAAAGGAGAAAGTATACCACAGCCTTAGGTATACCACCAAAGTATACCACGATACAAAAAACAAAGAAAATAAGTTTTATGACTACTATAGACTATTTATATAGGCTTGCCCAATATTACGTGACTGGGACTACTTTTATACGCCTCTATCGATTCCCCTACCTATTTCCCTTCTGGTAGATAGACGTGAGTGTGTGTATGTCAAAGGGGCTGATCGCATGAGGGTCGGAGTTGAACCGACTAAACACAGAATCCTTTTTTTTTTTGTTTCATAGTACAGGCTCTACCTAGTTTGGAATCAGACGGCCGTGTGTGAGTGTGTGAGATATATTATATTATTGTTTTACATCTAATGGGATAATCTTAACAAGAATAAAACGTAGCGGACGCAAATTTTAATATTGACTTGACTTTTATTAAATTGTAATAGGTACTACCGACTGTTTTTATTGCCCTATTTTTTGTTTTTACGAGTATGTGGAAAGATTCAAATATTTCAAACTCCAATGGAATTGATAGATTCCATTAAATTAAATGGCTAGTAAACCGCTTATAAATGTGTTTTGTATACATTTTATGGTCCTGTAATAAACCACGTGTAGATTTAAATATTGAATTTTTTTAACATGAGTAGGTCAGTACCTATGTATGATTACTATCTTACTTATGATTATGATCTTTAGATTATATACTGTTTTACAGCGATATAAATTTGTGCAATATATCATAAATTTTGTAATAGTTTATGAAATATTTTACAAAGGTTTCCACTGCGGCGTTCATGATGAAATATGCATTTAAAGTAGAACATGTTTTATCGTTTCAATTAACAACCCTCTACCATCTCAGTCCACGTATGCTGCAAATTGTATTGTATTATGCAAATTGTATTAGAAAATCGGTGCTAAGAATATTTGTTTTCAGTACATAGTTAATTCATATCCAAGGCAATAAAACGATAATTATGCGGTTGCCATTAAAGTATTATTGCGTCCTTTTTACTTAAAATGTTTAACAATTAATTTGACGTCAGCGATGATAACTAGGTTTCAATAAAACTCAATGCACGTATTATATGCACCACTTTGAAGGATAGGGCACATATATTTGCTGAAATTGGGGAACCCAAAACGGTAAAATAAAAAAACTACTTTTTTTTGTGCTGATACATTATGATGCTTGAGCTCCTTGCTTCCCCGGCTACTGGTACCTGGAGACGGCGTGTGGTTTTTGGTCGGTTCTAGTCTGACATAATCACCCACTGGTGGGTGGTATCCAAGGGTTCCGCTAAGAAAAAAATATGAGGAAAGAAAAGGATAGGCTGACTACGCTATGTCAACTCAGTTGCAAAAACATTAGTAGAGATGTAGTTGTATTATTTATAAATGGCCAAAACACAGATTTTGGATCATCTCTCAAATATTTAGGTACTGGCGTCGATTAATAATTCTCTATCGTACTCGTGCAAATTTTGATTGTGTGACATAAGTAAGGCTAGCTATTATTCCTGACATAGATAACATTAAAATCGATACTACAAATACTCTACCTTTACATAGATATGACAGTGAATATGAAACATGTTTAGCACCATAACTTATCGCTGCGTAATTTTTGTTCAGGATGGTATTAGTCCGCAATTCGATGTAAACAACTTACCTACTTCCGTGAAAGAACGCTGGAAAATACCGCTTTGGCAAAAGTATCGCTAAACCCGCCAGGAACATCCATAATATTGCTAACTCGTCCATTAATTGTCCTGAAAGGAAATAATTGATAAATGCATTAATGCTGAAGTAGGATTTATTTGTTGTTTTGATATAAATTTCAAGTTTTGTATCCTATTGTTTAATCGGATTCATGATATTTTGAAGTAGCTTTGCGAACACGTGATAAGAACGGACGAAATACTATAATAATGTGTACAAAGGAGCATTCACGAAAGAACCAAGGGGAAAGAATATTCACTTTTTATAAGGTTTCGTCCCACATAAAGAAAGGGAATTATTTTGTTGTCTATATGTTTGTCAGTCCAGACATTTTTCGGAGGAACGCGTTGAATCATCTTAAAATTAATATGAAATACATAGGTCCTTTATAACTGTAAAATCATTTAGTTTCTTATTCATAGTTTACACGCTTGCGAAAGTTCCAAGCCTCAAACGCTTGGATGCCATTTACACGCTTGCTAGTGTGTGAGTGTGTTCCGAATAGGCAAACATAGCAGACGTGGACATATTTTTGACGTGACAACGTCTTATAATTCGATGGAGCCGGCTGCACGCACGAAAAAACATGACTCATGCGGCGTTACCTCGCTCTGAGGCGTTCTATTTAAGGCTTGAAGTGCAAGCGAGAGCGCGGAACGAGCGACAAAGAGGCACAATCGGCCTCCGCGTTCGGTAGCGTTCGACATCTGTCTCTCTCCTACTTGAGTGAGCGATGCGTCCGCGTGGACAGCTGCTATACAATAATACATTTACATGTTTTCGTCAAGTATGAAGTGCAGTGAAAAGTGAATGTGGTGTCTTATGACGTTGTCACGTTCAACTATCGTCAGTAAACCGACTTTACAGACAGCTGATTTTTATTCAAAATATAAACGGCGGCACTAAACCTAAAAAAACCACTAGCCCTACTGCTCAACCAGTAGAGTATTGGACAATGGGGAACAAGCATGCGCCGACATGTAAATACGTTGCAAACGCTTCCCGCAAGTTTCCTTTGATCTGTGTTTAAAAACCCACACTAGCCCAGTCGATGATAAGCTCACGCAAGCCAAACCATATATACCGTTTATATGATTGTTTGTGGACACTTGTCGAGTTGTAAACGCCCCATTGGTCAACACAAGCAAAATATATTTAACATTGATCTAGAATTATAAAAATCTGCGAGAAGCAAGGTCTTACAGCCCAAGTGAATGTTCTTATTTTCTTCCTTATTATTGTTGCCAGAAAGCGGAAAAAAATTCCTGGTGTATAGTCATGACAAAAAGATTTCTAATTTTCATACGAAAAACTTTACGAATCTTTAAAAATAGTTTTTGGTCTCTAGTGTAATTTTGGATATTTCGAGACACGACACTTCCGTTCTCTGCCATCGATGTGTTATTATCTTTAAGTAGTATAAAATGAAGGCGATATTTTTTTGTACGCTTAGATCTTTTAAAATAAGTAACGGATTTTAATGCAATTTTGTAATGCAATGTATATTATAGTAGATAAAATCCGAGAATTTCAAAGATGTGTTAAAAAAATATAAACGCTGGCTAATCCTTGCGAGATAGACCAAAATAATGTACTACAGCATTGTATATCTTAGAGATCTTCAAAAAAGTCCGTGATGGTATACGTCTTTCTCCTAAGGATAATCCACAGTAACCATTTTTATCTTCTAAATATTACAAAAAAAAAATGGGTTATATATTATTCCTTATCCAATTAAATACGTTGTGCATTTAATGTAAATTAAAATTGCTCTTTTAGAGCTTTAAAATGAGGTTTAAAATGCGGGGGCAAAGCGGCAGTCGCCGCTTCTGGTCGTACGTCTGTCGCGGTTGGCAATGGCCGGCAGGATAGGAGCGGAACTTTAAATATTTTATATATTTATACATCATGCACATTCTGTGCATTGGCGGTCTTAATGCCTAAGGCAATTTCTACAAGTCAACCTTTGGGTGATACAGTATATGTACACAGTTAATTTTAGGCGCTTTTTAGATGTATGTATACTTTATAATAAATCCAAACCTGTCATATAGTACACCTATACATAATAATATTACCCATAAGTACATATACAGGCTGAGTTTAAATTTGCCGTTCATATTAACACGGAAGAATCTTTAGTAAAATTTATGAGAAACCCGCATTTCAGTTTAGTATCTAATGGTACAAAAATATTGAGTAATTAGCATCACAAAGTTGTCTCAAGAACTCGCAATTTGTAGACACACTGCAATCGGTAGCCGCGCAAGTGTTAATGACCTCTCCATCGGCATAGCATACTTCGCTACATTTCATTGATAGATAAAGTACCTAACTAACATCCAAATACTAAAACTTCACTTAAAGGGCACGTTTGAAATAAGTAAAAATACATCAATCTTTCTTTCTTCACATCAATATTGATATGTACAATAATTAATAAAAAATAAGAATTAGGGGTTAACTTACCACTACTGTTTTACATGTATTTTAATAAGTGTTCAAAATGTAGTCTTCTAGATATCTAAATTCAAAATGTAGTCTAGATGTTGTCTAACGAAGTGTGTTGTGGCCCACCAATGTTCGTTATGTTGGTGATACAAACCCACACGAGTAAACAAGGCCTCGTCTGTCCACAAAAATTTTTTTTTTTTTGCTCTATTGCAAGATTTGACCTTGCAGTACCCCTTGCGTGTAACGGGTTCTAAACAGTCCATAGTCTAACAGCCTCTGATTTGACGATTCGACATTACTCTACGATCATGACGAAATGATTGTTTCATTTACTTATTTAAATCCTGACATATATATTTTTATTGCGTGAAGTATGAATTATATAGAAAAAAAAACGTTGTATAGAACACAAGAATCATTATCATTCAGAATTTTAATTCACACAAAATTTTTGGTCAAAGTACCGATTCCCGGGAATTTTTGGTCATATCCATGACTTGATAATAATAGCACCCAAAATTCCGATCTATACATGAATACACTTTAAAAGCATTTAAATACATACATACGCAAATAGATATTGATAACAATTTTATATTTATAATAAACGAAACGATATCCTAATTTCGAGCGGCAACGAAGAACGGACTGAACTAAACAGGATCAGTCACCAAACTCAGACGTGTGGGAGGGACAATGAAGAAGAAGGTTATTAGAGGCTCCTGTCGTGATTACTACATAGGAGTTGGAAGTAGGCAGCTAGAAATATTGCATATAAAGATGTCCTGTAGTATAGTCCTATCATAATAATTGTATAATTAATTACTCCACCCTGACACCACATTAATAGTATCTACATTGCACCCGTGCGAAGCCGGTGCGGATCGCTAATATTACTATTTTATTATTTTTTATTTATTATTACAAAAAAAACTGATATTACAAACTTACATATGGCGGCTGGAAATTTGAATGTTACGTATATCGATGTACGACGTTGCATTTTTAGAAGTGCAACATTGAGTTCTATTTTTTAAACGATTCCAAAAAAAGCAAACGCAAATTCACTGCAAAAATAACTCAAGTCTGTTACACTTTCATAGCTAAACTGTTTGAAACAATTTTAGTAAAATTTGACATGGAGATACTTTGATTCTTGAGGAAGGACATAGGCTACTTTTCACCGACATACCCGTGGACAGAGTCACAAGCAAAAGCTAGTGTAAAAGATTGAGTACAAACATTTACACTTAAATGCATCTTTTTTTCTTTAGACTACAATATGTTTAAAAGCTGTAGGATCATACTATATGTTGTATGTTTTTAGTTATCATCTTGCTTAAAATTATAGCATATTGTAGCATAGTTTGAAGGTCTTTTATGCACCTACTTCTTAACGATACTCTGTTTAACAAATAAACCACTGCAGTAATTGTACATTCTAAAACTGAATGTCGAAAACTTACTTGACCACTATCAACATGTTGTTTAACATGTTTGTCTCCAATGCTTTTCTCATATACCAGTATTTTATTATATATTTAAACAGATGGTTAGATATGCTTTTACTTCTCTGGTATATACATGGTATATGTGTTGTATATCTCAGAGCAAAAGCAAATTTACAAAATCAGCAACAGCCTTTAATAGTACACTGCTGGACATAAGCCTCTCCTTAGAAAGGAGCTTTTGGCCTACTATACCACGGTGGCCAGACGGGTTGGTATAGGGTTTGCGCTCGCGAGGGGCCGCTTCCGCGTGTGCCGGACGTCACCTAAAGAGGGGATAATTGGATACGGAGCCCGCACAAGAAGCGGGCCGGCGCTGGGAGGGTCTAGAAGGCGATAACTACCTGGACCCCCCTAAACTGGAAGCGCAAAGCACACCGTTTTAGTCGGTTTGAGTCCGACACACCGCCCAGCCGAACAGAGAACCCCGGCGGGGTGACGGTCCGAGGGGATTTTCAACATTCAAATAAAAATTCCAAAAAAAAAAAAGGGTTTGTGTCAAGTTTTCCTTCTAACTGCAGTGCTGTTTTACTGAGTAGTTTTTTCCCTTAGTCAGCTCTTACAACACCCACAGGATGAATAGGGATGGTGATACTCTGTATTCTTAATCCGTCACCACACGGACACTACATTTATTATTTTGCTTAAAAGAAGTTGTTGCACATATGTTTCAAACATCAACTCCTTAGAGACCATTCTGAAGAGTCGATTTGTAAATGAGGCAAGCTAAGAAGAAATTTACAAAATATTCTTTTACATTTATTACAATTTAAACATAACAAAGAATCACTTACCAACTAAGCTTAATGTAGCATGAAAGTATGCAGAGCTTACTCCAACCAACATCAATAAAACCCATAATACATTTATTGCTGGATTGAAGAACTTAGAGTACTCTTGGAACAAGTGAATTAATACTGGCGGGAACAAGAAGAACAAAAAATTGCTGACCTGAAATAACAATACCACATTAAGGAAATGTTTTTCTTTATTCAAATGCACTAGTAGGTCGCCATTAAAAGATAAAAACAAGTTTATTAAAAACTTTAGGTATTCATGCATAAAAACAATATTAACTAAGCAGGAAATCAAATGATTCACTTTTAACAGATAGGTACTTAATGGGTTACAAAAGTCAAATAATGAATTACTTTGTTACTTTGTTTTAGTTATGGCAAGAGAGAATTGAAAGAAATGAAAGAAATCCTTTGTTGCCTAGACCGTATATGTATAATTAAATGAATATTAAGCAACTACTTACAGTATTAACAAATTCTGCTATCATCGGTGAAATAGAATAATTCGATTCGCACCAGTCCACTGGCGAACTTCCACGTTCTAAGTGAGACCACATTGTTTATGTTGTTCCAAATCTTTGTTTACAATATTGTATTAACGTCAAGACGCATTAATTTAAAATAAAATATTATATAAATGCGTGAGTTATATATAATATTACTTTGTATTTATTTACGTAATGGTACGTATATTTATTTTAAATTTTCAAGTCTAATTTTTCAAATCCGGAATAATTTACGAAAAATATAATTCACTCAAAACAATTCATACGTCCTACCCAGAAATCCCGATGTCACTGTTTGGCAGCGGTTAGACTTTGACAATTCAATGACATCATCATATCAACTTAATAATTAACTGCAATATTTGGATATGAGTGTTTTTCTTTAAAAAAATAAAATTACCTTTTTTTATTAAACACAATACATTTTTGAAAAATTTCAGATCGGGTATAAATTATTCCAAATTATTACAAGTAATCGATGTCCCAAATTTAACAAACACTTTTGTATTAAGAATATAGGCACTTGCATAATATTTTGCACCAGATTTTCATTGTTATTGAGCAAATTAATTGAAATAACGAAAATACTTAATAAAAAATAACGCTAACGTAGATAGAAGTCAGTACTTAAAAAAAATATTTTTAATTAAACTCTAATAAGTATGAACCTACCTTGTGGTAATACATTATCATGGCATTATAGATTTTAGTTTTGATAGTTTTTCTTATAACATATGTTTTATCAAATTACGACCGTTATCTACTTAGGAAATTATTTGTCAGTTTACAACTTATACAAGATCTAATGACAACAATAGAATAATTTCCAAATTATACAATGGCTGAAAATCATACTTCAGGTAACTAGACATCATCGTTCATATCTGTAATTTTATTATAAAAAGTAGTGCAGTGTTGTTAATTTAAAATTACAACCAAGAACAACTTCTTAGTGGTCAACGATACATTTCAGAGTGGTATTTTAATGATAATGAGCGAAAACACCGTAGCACTTTATTAACGTCATGGATATATTATGATTATGATCTTGGCAGCCCTGTATACTGACGTTCGTTTCTTTCAATTATCATTACAAAACTATATAGCAAGAAGTCATTGCCACACAATTCATTATCACAATGTTAAGCCATTGAAAACCACTGTGATGATTAAGGACGACATTTTTAGGAATAACATTAGATTCTAAGCTACAGTGGACCCCACATATAGATAAATTATCGAGTATACTCAGCTCAGCAGCGTACGCAGTTAAAAAAATTCGAGAATATATATACATATATATAATAGAAACTGCTATTGATACAGCACGACTTGTTTACATCTGTTATTTTCATAGCATAATGTCGTACGGTATTCTACTGTGGGGAATGCTGCCGACATTCAAACTATTTTTGTACTACAAAAGAGAGCGATTCGAGCAATTTATAATTTAGGCAATCGTTGTTCATTGAGAAAGAAACGATGTGAGATTTTTTTTTAAGAAATAAACATAATGACAGTGTAAGTCACTATACATATATATGAAAATGTACTATATGTTCATAAAAACAAAGAGAGCTTCTTAAAAAGAAGTTATGTACCTGCCTTTAATACCAGAAATAGAAATAAACTTGTTGAACCTGCCTCTAGGCTCCAAAAGATAAACAAGTCATTTCGAGGTCAATAAATCTATAACAAAATCCCAAATAGTATAGAATATTTTAGTATAAAGAAATTCAAATCCACAATAAAACTTAAAATATGTCAGAAGGCCTGTTACTCAATAGTGGATTATATAGAAGACAAGAATGCTTGGGATGAATTTAGCACAGGCTATTTCGTAGTGGCAATGTGATGTAGGCTATTGTCTTTCATTTATTTTTTCCATTTTTCTATGTTTAACTTCACTTTCTTTTTTTATTCTATGTTTATTCTTTATCTTGTTTTCTCTTCAAGTCCTTTTTAGTCCTTAGAACTTACATATTGGCACACATCAAAAAAATGTTGTGTATATTTAATGATACCATCGTTATCTGTTGATTGAAAAGAGTGGCCGTGAGTTTGTTTGCCCTTTCTTCTAATGAGGCTCAACCCCTTGGAAATGGGCGGTTGTAGATTGGCAGAGGCGTTTAAGAGATTTTCTATACGTATATATTCAGTTTGCCAAATATTTGACAAAAAAGAAATTGTTTCTATTGTATGTGTATGTTAATCTATGACTTAAGACAAGAGACGACTTCAAATAATTTTAATTTTTTTATGAAATAAACATATTTGAGTTTCAGTTTCGACAGTCTTTTTTTTTCAAAGGAAGGCGACACTTTTAGGCAGGGCTTTTAAGGGCCTGGTAAGTTTAACATTTGGCAATATTTCCGCTTTCTGCTGTAGGTATATAAGAACATTTTTTGTTTGTGCTATTCTCTTTAAATGTTAACAGGTATTTAAAAAATATAGGTATAGTAATGTTCTTTTATATTGATAGATGAGGAAATAGACTTGTTACCAGAACCAGAAACATCTTACGGGAAACGATTCCCTAGAGCTAACCAAAGTGACGTTACAGTTGCTAGTGAAGTCCTACGAGGCATAAAACTACGTCAGAGAAAACCTTATGGACAAAAAAACAGATGTCCCGTGATCATTAATTTGCCAAAGCCACACAGGATGTGCAAAAGGTACTATTACTAGGAATAATAAAGAACAAATAGCCTCCTTGAGAAAATTGGTTATTTAGTTTTATAGAAAATTGGGAAATTCAAGATTTTCCTTATTCAAATTATTAATACAAGAGGATATTTAGAGAATATTAAAATAAGAGGTATTTCCATGGCAACGTAGTGTGAAGCTCACCCAGTACGCTACGCTACATACCGTCACACAAGTTTTGCGTTTGTCATGGTTTTATAGCGTTTGTTACGCCCCTTTTAACAATTTGTTATTTCTAATGTCACTGGTATTAAATTTACCTCCTTTATTTTAGAAAACTTTGCAAGGTGGCATCCCATTCGATTCCAGAATGTAATCATTGTAAACTACCACCTGGTCCCAAATCAATAATAGGTCTGACCACTTCTAGGAAAACTACTAGACTAAGGATCAGTATTAAAACGGAGAACAAAACCATATGCCCATTGAGAATTTCACAACTGGCTGTGCCATCAAAACGACACTGCATAGATACTTGGAGATATAAATCATATTTATTACCAGAAACCATGGTAATTATCCATACTTTTTATATTATCCAAAACAGAGATGATTTTAGTGATACGAAATATTTTTTCTTCACATGATTTATTTTTGAACTTTATTATTTATCATCGAAATATAGCTAATTTTTTAATCATTTAATTTATAAAAATTAAATACAGAGGTGTAACTTAATTCTAAACTCGCCGAAGTTTTACGTTTGATGGCTAAAACTTCATTTTCACACAGTAGCGTAGCTAGGCGTGGGCGAAATGGGCCGTCGCCCACGACCTCACGATGCTGCTTTAAATGCGATGCCCTCAGACTTTACCACAGATAACAATTAAGCTGATTACATTTACGTTCAAAGTGTGTTTGTTTCGGGCCTCCCAAGAAGCCCCATCTGAAGTGCGACTGCGAGGCCATTGTGACTACCTTGAAAGACGAATACAAGACTTGTCAGGTATTAATAGCTATGAGCAGGGGCGGATTGTTAATTTTTGGGGCCCTAGGATACTACTAATTATGAGCCTTTTTTGTTAACGGGGTGGCAAATTCGTTTGGATCGCCTTGGAGACGTAGAAGTTAGCAGTATGTGATGTTTTCTCTAAAATCCCGCTCGACGTCTGGCCTCAGGTGCTTAACTCTGGGAGGACCTGGACCTTGTGATTTCTGGTCGCTCTCGGATCAACCCCGCACCTAACTAGAAGAGCACCCCACACCTATCCTGGGAGAAGCTGCGGGCTTCTCCTGCCTTTGGGCCCAATGACTACCCATGTGTTGTGGCCTGATCGCGTTTTGATACGATTGCTGGCAAGGACAAATCTAGTCTTATTCAATCGACCAGGACCTCCCGTTTAAACATCCACGCGCGGCATTTCTCTCGCCGATGCTAGTCGGAGTCGGCTGCGCAGTGCTGGCATTTTGCCGTCTACTCACGTCCGATCCAATTCAGGTACTCACCGTAGACACCATGCCCGACTAGTACCTGCGTCAATTGGTAGGTGACGCGACCTGCCTCTCTACTTACGCACTCTTCGAGGTTGGGCAGACATTCCACGGCTGGTCCAACTGGCGCACTTTTGCAACAGTGCCTGTGGTTCAGTGCTTCGCCGCATTTCGAACCCGTCCTGAACCTCTCTGCTCCCACCCAGGCGGATGGCACGAGTCTGCTCATAGACCCGGAGGCTCATAGGCGCTTAGCCCATATCGGCGCTCTGTAGAGGGCCATGGATCGTATTACCGCACCATAAACGCAAATTTCCTCAAGCAGATCACCTACATTCGACAGCAGCCTCTGTAGGGAGCCCGCCACCCCAAAAACTCGGGGTATTATCCGCTCAAAATACTCCTCGAAGCTCCACCGACAGTCCAGGTTGAGGGCGAGGTACTTGATATACCGTTTGACTTCGACTTTTATTAACCCACGCTAATGAGGGAGCGGGCAAGAGCTGCACCTCCGCGTTTCCACAGGAAGTCCGTCTTATGGCGCACTAGCCCACGACACGACACTAGGTCCAGACCGCTTATCTTTTGGACACAACCTAACCTAACCTAACTCGGCCAGCTCCAAGTTCTCCTTCGCGTAATAGACGACACTTACTTCTAGGGAAAGACTAGTTCTCGGGACTGCATTAAGCGCGAGATTCGTTCGAGGACAGACGCCTTTGGAACCAACTTTTACGATCCATATACGATATGAACCTGTTGTGAAAATAATCCGCGCAGATATCCCGCAGGTGGGGGAGCAACTGGTAATACAACAATGCATCCCTAATACTCCACCACGGGAGGAGGTTCAAAGCGTTGACTATGTCAAGACAGGCGGCCAACATTACTTTCGCCGACTCCGGCAAACAACCTCTTCCTTTCTTCAATTGTAATACAACACATTAACACAAGATTTACTGCATTCATGAACATTACAACAATGTTGGATTCTTGTATTAAGCTAGGTAGTCTGACGTGACGCGGTATGCTTCGGCATGCCCCTTCAAAATAAAGCGTCCATCTGGCTACCGAAACACGCCCCGCCATGCCACGACGTCAGTCAACGCCGGCCCTGAAACGAAACATGTTGTGTCACATGCTGCGGCGTCCTGGAGCATGCCACTACGTGCCGCAGTATAATTGTATCAAAATTAAGTAATAAAATATCTAAACTCATTGAAATAGGGATAAAAATGTGTAGCGTTAACCGTGCGTAGGAACACGATAAGTAGTCTTTTTTTTGTGATGAATTGACCACAAACAGCTGTTTAACTATAGTTACTGTTACTGTTAAGTCAGTATACTGAGACTACTTTTATTTTAAATAATATTAGTAGGTAAAAAGGCAATTAATAAAGAAGTACAAAATGTTCCCTCTCACTCGACTCCACAATTCTTGTCTTGTGAAATGAACAACAAATAGATATATACCTTCTTATTCCTTGTGTCTATTTTACTATTCTATTTGTATGAAAACAGAATTAAAAGCCACACAGGTTTAAGTATATACTTATACTTATAGCTCATACAATTAGACTGTGGAAAAATGAATGACTACGGGAAGCGAAACGAAAAATACATTATTATTTACTTTTACCAGTGCAATATTCGTATGAGTAAATCAGTCAAAAGTTTATCGTACAATTAGACAAATTAAATCAAAAAATATAAATTAATTTTCAGGTACACAGATTAAAACAGCATGTTTTGGATCAGCGACCAGTCGTACAAATATCGGATGCAGTGTATTGCTTTCAAAAACGAAAATCTCGATTACACAAAAAAAAGTATTTTAACTTCATATTATTTATATTAATGAGTAACAAGTTACCTACGAAGATCTGAATAACATCTGGTCGACAGATCGCTTCGTTGCTCATAGATTCGCCTTTAGGCGGCGGCAATTCATTAGAATCTTCAACCCATTTTCACCAAAAAACAAATTTACACTCACAAAATTGCTAATTTTATTATTTTTTATGTATGTGTACCTACTGACCACACTGAATTAAAAAAATGGTAGAAACAACAGATATACTAAAAGTGTGATTCTTCAATCTGTCATGGCCGTAAGCAGTACCACCAGCAGAAACATCATCAACATAGAAGTAATTGGCACCAAAAAGTAAAAACGACTGCCCTGTTGGTCTAGTGGTTAGTGACCCTGACTGCTACGCCAGAGGTCGTGGGTTCGATTCCCACCCAGGACAAATAATTGTGTGATGAGAACGGTCGTTTGTTCTGTGTTTGGGTGTCTTTATATATAGTATGCATTTATATAAGTATGTTTATCAGCAGTCTGGTTACCACAGTACAGGTTCTGCCTAGTTTGGGATCATACGGTCGTGTGTGAGATGTGTGAAAAATATTATTTTATAAAAATATTTTAATTTGTGTAGGAATTACGTGCATTACATTTTTAGCAACTTTAACGATTTTGAAAACTTAAGATAAAACACAACAACACATGTATCATTACCTATTCTTTGCGTTCTAGTTGGCATCTTGATACTAGTGATAATTAATAATAAATAATAAAAATGTTTATTTCATCTCCACAAATTACATTTTGTTTTATATTTAACAGTTGACAGGAAAACTGTCAAGAAATTTGCAATTTGTGGGAGATCTGGAGTCTAAACTAAGCCGAGGCCTGTACTATAGATCTCCAGGCCCCCCATTACATCACACTTAGCAGATTTGTCAACATGTCAAAAGCGTACTAGAGTTTGTGAATGAGTAAACAGTAAAAGGATTTGGCATTAAAAATATATATACGAATGGTTGCGCTGTGAGGGCGTGTGTGTGTGTGTGTATGGGCGTCTGGTGTGTGGGTGTGTGTGTGTGTGTGTGTAGCGTGTGCGAGGATGTTTAGGACTTGTACTTTTTTTTTAGAGTATCAATTTTGCTTAAATTTTCGTCCGTTGTATGTAGATAGGTGTATAAATAATAAGCATAAATAAATGTGTTATAAATTAAGTAATACCCATAGTGATATACAAAGTTTAATGTCAGGAGTGTAACATATGCATAAATATACATATACAAACTCATACGCACACGTAATGTACATATTAATCTATATTCTTACATCTAAGATTTTTTCTGTTTCCGAGTAACTAAGCTTCAGTAACCATTTTTGAATTATATTTTTGCAGAAATTGCTTGATTGTTAGGATCTAATAATTTGCAGGCCTTTTAAAGATGCTTTAAGTTACTGGAAAAAGAAAATGGAAATACCGCTACGCCAACAAAACACAAGAACCCTCTGTCTAATTTTTGCACATAAAATTATTCAAAAGTTATTAATACCAATGAAGATAGAAATAAATGCCGAGTACGTGTTGATATGACTAGTCAATTGATAATTTTTATACATTATGAATATCTTAGTTAAATTATTTTCCTATTATAGTTTAGAAAATATATCAAGAGTTATTGTCAGTGAAATAGTAAGAATTACAAAGGGAAAGAAATATATGACGACCGCATACCTCCGAAAATATAGATCGGTAAATGCTGACCCAATAAATAAAGTAAGTTTCTCAAATATTACTTAATATTTAAATTTGAACTTGCCATAATTTCATCATAATTCACCTTTCTTCACTAACCGGGAATATATTTTACTAGCTGACCCGCGCAACTTCGTCTGCGTCTCTTAATAGTAATAAATTTTCTCCGTTTTTGAAACATTCTTCATTGGTGCTCCGCTCCTATTGGTCTTAGCGTGATGATATATAGCCTATAGCCTTCCTCGATAAATGGGCTATCTAACACTGAAAGAATTTTTCAAATCGGACCAGTAGTTCCTGAGATTAGCGCGTTCAAACAAACAAACAAACAAACAAACAAACAAACTCTTCAGCTTTATAATATTAGTATAGATTTAGGTACTAACAAATACGCCGTTAAAGTAACTGGTTATATTTAGGCGTAAAATTCGCTCTATTTTGCAGATAACTGCATGGGTAGTAGGCATCATTGAAGACCTAGCTTATAAACAATTAGAGGAAGATTTACGAGGTAAAACAGCAATTTAATCAATTGTATTTTGAGGACGAGATGTGAAAAGACTTTGTTTAATATTTGTCTAAGCAGTGTTACTAACTCTCAAACATAACTTATTGGCACGTTATTTGGAGCAAAAAGCTGCTGACGTCTTTGAGAGATTTAACGGGTTCCTAATATTTCGGCCTATTGGTCACAGACTGCTAGTTTTATCCACAACTAAGTTACAGAGGCAGCGCCTCTTTACATGTAGCAAAGAACTAAATTTGTTCACTATGTGACGTAGAGGCGCTGAAGTAAAAAACATAAATTACAAGTCTAAACTAATGCTAGCGCAGACTAATGCCGCTTAATTCAGGAGCAGGAAATACAATTATCGAGACCGTAACGTTTTAATAATTGCTATGAACATTACATACCGTTATAATATTTTTACAGAATTAGAAGAGGAAGAAGGACCTGTGCTAGATTTTCTTGATGACTTACTTGCAAATGTTTTTGTTAGTATTATGAGATTTGCTCATTTCTGAACATTGTCCTTATTTTTTTTGTATTTTATATACATATATATAGCTCTACTAGCGATATACGTTGGATTGTATTAAAATGTACTTGTATAAGGACTTATATAAACGTAGTTCATAGAGCAACTCCAGTCCGCCGGTGGCCTGTGTTGCTTTATGTAGTGCTTAAAGAGGTCGCCACGGCGCTTACTACTACGCTGAGTGTTGTGAGTTCGATCCTCACATGGGTGTTCAAAAGAAAAATCATTTTATCGTAAAACAGCCTGGGGTGCAAAATCTCAATTAATGTTAAAATATTTACTAGTACGGATATTTTTAAAAGTAAATGTTTTAAATATCTTTTTAGTTCGGCTAGCTACAAAAGCGTGTTTTTTTTTTGTTTTTTAACATTTTTTATTTTTATTTTTTAGTCATAAATGATAATTATTATCTTATTAAGACTAAGTAAGCTTACGTGGCAAAAGACACTACCGTATTTTTAGGTATAGAAAAAGCTGTTAATCCTGAAGGTCCTGATCACGATAATGAGATAAACTTTTTAAATTATTGCATTATCATCGGTTCATGATAAGTGTGCAAAGTTTCAATTTAATTAGACATTTTAAAGTGGCTTGAAATCATGTTCGAAGATTCCTTTACAGACATACCAAGCTAATAAAAGCGTGTTAAAAAGTTACAATACTACTTAACCCTAAACATGTCTTTCTCTCAGGATTGAACCCATACCTACTCATAAATTAAAAATTATTTTACCTATCTTATAAAATAACTATAGTTCTTCTAAAATTTTAGAATATTTGCTTGCCCGTGACACTTGAAGTGTTTATTGAGGAAGAATCGGAAAAATCGATTTCTTCCAATTCCGAGGCCAGCGCGTATAGTGATGGCAAATTAAACGATACAGAGTATTTTCAAAATGAAATCATGAAACTCATAGATAATGGTCAAGTTGAAACTGTTGAAGTTATAGGGGATATATCAAATGAAAGTGATTTGTTGACTGAAATTAATGAGATACTGATCAACATCCTGAAACAATCTATTGCTTCTGAAGATACAATCAATGATAATAATGACTTCGTTACTGATGCCGACTATTTTGAGAACGAAATCATTAATATAATAAGTATTGTTTGCAAAGAATCTGACGATAACATTGAAAACAATAATGATGATTCAATATTAACTGTCGAAGACAGCATTGAGGTTGTCCAACTCCCAACAGAACACAGCTTTGAAAATGATTTAAAAGAATCCGATGATGCGGTAGCCGAAGTCCAATCCCAAACAAAACACAGCTATAATTTAAAAGAATCTGTTGATCTAGATGCCGAAATTCAATTGCCAACAACACACAGCTCTGCAGATAAATTAAAAGAGTCGGTCGATCCGTCTCCCGAAGTCCAACTCCCAACAATACACAGCTCTGCAGATAATTTAAAAGAATCTGTTGATCCGTCTGCCAAAGTCCAACTCCCAACAACACACAGCTCTGCAGAAAATAAAAATGTAAAATCTGTTGATACATTGTCCGAAGACACAGATGACAGGAGTAAAAAAGTAATGTTTTCTGTTTTCGACATTGGTAATTTTTTGTTTTGTGTGATAATTATGCAATGGCGAAATCATGGATTTATGGTAGATACGGTAGATAATTTCCCCTGTGCACTTTAAAAATATAAGTCGCAAATTTTTCTCTTTTTATTTCAGTAAACCCCCGAGACGCCGTGTCTTTAAGGTATATTATTATATTCCATTACTTCCAGTAGTTTTATTATTTATAATTGAAATACAAATATGTAGATATGTTATTTTAACTTTTATGAACTTTATATTAAAAGTATAATCAAGTACCTATAGGAAGAAAATCTTTCAAGAATACCTTCAGAAGCTTACATACGATAAAACGGAGTCAATTATCTACACCGCTCTATGAACTTACTGTAAGATAATACACCAGATGAGCAAAACACACACACTCACCTACACTTAGGCCCATACACACACGCGTATGCACGCGGTACACACACCCACGCATATGATAAGATGAATTATAATTGAAAAAGAAGTACGAAACTTAGAATTAATTTAATTTTGTATTTTTAGTTTCAATTTTAATAAATTTTATTTTATACAGTACTTTTAGTCGTACTTATAATTTATTAATTTACAGAGCTTACTAAAATCTACTTGAACAGTTTTATCCTGTGTTACTGGAAGGTTGCTGATGCTTAATGCTCAGGTTATCCTTTTTTAAGCATCAGTTGATTAAATGTTTGCTTACTAAAACGTGTAAATAGGGAGCTCTAAATGAGTATACATTTGTAATTTGGAGACAATAAACTTATTACTTATATTATTTCAGTGAATTAACCGGCATACCAGGCTCTCCAAAAGAATCGATGAAATTTTATAACAGTTACTTAAAACGTAATATGATCTTTGCTGAACCCAATACACACTTACTGAGTAAGTTATATCTACATATTATACAATATATTAATAATGTAGCAAAAAAATATTTATTTGAACTTGACATCATATTTGTGGCTATCATATTTCTGGATATAATATTATTATTCTTTAACAAAATTCATTATAATGTTATTTTTAAATACCGGCAGATAATAAGGTGTAGAAAGATGTTGTTGTTGTTAATACCATATTGTTTAATTCCGTTTTACCCATTTCGACAACCCATACCAGGGAGGAAGTGATGCCCTTTCGTGCTAAAGAAAATTTACTTTAGTTTGTGTATTATTTCATAACAACATTTTAATTATAATGTATTGTATATTTCCATATATAAATTTTACGACGAATATAATTTATTCAATTTTATCTCTCTACAAAGGTAAGGCTGATGAATCATGGCCAAGTTTCAACTTTTCATCAGCTGTATTAAGGCCTAGCGCAAGTGTTACCAAATCTTTAACTTCACTAGGTACATTTTCGGAACATGACGAGGAAGACTTTTCATTGTCAATAATAAGTTCTAATGTGGATGAACAAGAAAATGTAAATACGGCAATAATAAAAAATCAAGTAAAACATTTAGTTACGTCACCGACTAAACCAACTGAATTTGCAAATAGTGAAGAAAGATCTATTAAAACATCACTAGAAACAAATAATGAAACATTAATATCACTAAAAGATTCTATTTCGCTAACAAATAGCGTGAAAGGAGATGAGGAACTTATAACAGCAGAAATCAAAACTATTACGACATATAATCAAACTTTACATAATAAAGAAGTCCAAGTTAATACGAACTGCCATGATGATGGAAGCCAAACAGATGAGATTAAAAAACCTAACGTGAACTTAGGGACGAGTAGACAATTAGTGACTAGTGTGGATTCTGAGCTAACAGCAGACAAATTTGACAGCAAAAATATATTTAATTCTTTAAAAAACTATACATTTAAAACTAGTAAAAACATGGGAACGGTGACAAAGGACAATAAACTATTTCTTGTTAGTCAGTTAAGTAAGTATTTTTGTCCTAGTTAGTAGTAGCAAACCTCACTTATTCGCTGCGGTTACCGAAGGGTCAACCGGTATTTGGGGTGTTCACGGGTAGCGACGCACTTGTGTTTTGTGAAATGCAGGTGTTCAAAGGTGGCAGTGATTCACTTATGGCATGTAAAAGTGTCAATTTTGTCTCTGCAATAAAGTGAATAGGCTAGTAGTAGCTCCCGTCTTAGGATATCTGTTCTTTTGACGTCCTAAAATAAAATACCAAGACGAGTAGTACAAGACCTAAGTTCTTCATACGCTACGCTCTTGATATCGTCAGAATTAACTCTTAAATTCCAAACATTATACAAGAAATTTAACAGGTTACATTACACTTTAATGAAATCATCTCAACACGTTTATTTTTAGCAAAAACAATACAGAATATTAATAACTGCTATCAATTATCACAAAACGATTTTCACAAATGGTGTAACGAGTTGGACGAAGGATTTAAAAACCTGGAGATTTGGCACGAATGGCTACAAAATGCATGCAACCAGACGATTGACGTTTCAAAAAACAGTTAGTGGTTTTTGTTTGTTTAGTGTATAAATAAATATGCAATTCCTTAATTTAATTCATAACTAATAATTTAATTGCACCTGTTTTACCTAACTGATTTGCTAGTTTTTTTTTAAATTAAACATACCTATTTATGTTCAGATTTGTCGGCAACCATTGCAAATTTCGCTCTTTATGTTTTACTCAAACGCGTTTTTTTTCATAGATTTCTTCTATCTTTTTCTTTTAATTCTATCTCCAGTTGAAATAGAAGTGCGCGATTCGTGAAAGTCTAAGAAAACTCACAGAAACCAGTTCTCCTGTGACCTTGGTCCATTTGAATTCGTCGTCGTGGTATAGTAGGCCAAAACCTTCTTTCTAAGGAGAGGCCTATGTCCAGTAGTGGACTAGTAAAGGCTGTTGATGATGATGTTGGAGGGAAGCGAGTCGATGAAAACAATACTGGTAATTCTATTCCACTATGATAGGAAAAAAAGTCTGAAGAGTAAACAGTTGCACAAATTTATTATGTACTAAATTAAAGTCGAAGTCATATTTTTAATGCATAGTTACATATATTCAAGCGTTACATAAATATCAAGGAATTGTTGATAGTGAAATAAATTGAGCCATAATGGCAGTCGAGAAAAATATAATAGCCTATAAAAGAGATGTTTGCTAAATTTGATTTTGTATTAATTATATTTGTTCTTATTTTAGAAAACCATTATACGTGTTTAAGGAAATATATGAAAACTTGGCAAAAACTAAAGAATGATGTATACTCAGACGCTGTTTTGTGGACAAAAGTAAATCAAAATACACAAAGAAGATTTAAATGTTATCGAAAATATTACATAAAAAAGGAGGTAAATACACAGCATTTAAAAAATAACATTCTTTAAACTACAAAACGAATGTCATTGCTCTATATTTAACACAAAATGAAAGTTAATTATTCACATTTTTAATTTAAGTTTCGTATCATAAATCAAGATATATATTTACGATATTTGAATGTTTAAGGCTAGATTTTTATCTACCACCATATTACATAAAAACACAAACCTAAAAAAGAACTGCTAATTTCAGATTGGACACACAAACTCTAATGCCACATGCTTTTGTAAAATTCATGGAAGGAAAACGACATAAAAACACAATATATAAATTATTTACACCCAACTCAGGTAAATATACAATTAAATTAATTAAAACATAAGATATGTTATTTTATACAACACAAATAAGACAAATATATTTGAACTTAGACATAAATATTCTTAAAATAAATGCCGTTCTTAAAATAAATCACTGTTGCCGTCATTTGAAATGTACATTAATTTGATTAAAATCATACTTCCGAACAATAGCATCTCTACAACCTGCAAATATCCACTTGCCATTAAAGGATAAGTCCCGTATCCCATCACAATCAGACCCTGTTAGCTGAACCCTGACTTTATCGAAGGCTTCTTGGAGTGATAGGACGGTACAGGTCCCGTCTTGTCGTCCAACAATAAACGATTGATTGGGTAGACTCACTAAACTCATCACAGGGTTAGCAGATTCATGCCATTCTCTCAATAGAGACCCGTTGTGCTCATTTAATAGCACTACCTGTAAACAATTTGTTGTAATAATAAACAATAATATTAAAAATAACTTCCTGTACTTTCCACAATTCTATTTGAGGTGGGTCTTTTACGATATGTCTAGCTGCATGCCCGACGTAAATCCTTCTCGGGAATATAAACGTTTTTAGGCGGGACTTAGGAAGAAGAGATATGGCGACCATAAACCCCTATTCGGGTCAGGGACACCACAAGTATCGGTTCGGCAACGGGACGAGGACGACGGGTGATTCAATTGACCCCTAGAACAGGGACATCAAATTAAGACTATTTAAGTATAGAAAACATAATAATACCTTTCCATTGCTACAGCCAGCAATAATGGCTTTTTGGACAACTGTGACAGCATTACAAGCAGCATCAAGATGTTTGGAGAACACTATCTCCCTCTTCGCCACATGCACGCCAACAATACGACCGCTTTCACATCCAATCAATAGCAGCTTGTTACCAGTGCCAACCTTAAATCAATTAAAAATATAATTAAAAAAAAATGATTAAATAAATTTGAACAATGTCAAATAGAGTATTTATTATATTACACTACACGGAATGCCATGTATGGAAATGCATAGTTTGCACGCTGGGTTCTAAGAACGTCGCCTGCGGACGGAACCCCGCGCCTTAGTTCTTGTTTATTATGACAGTAATAACAAAAAAAATATTAGGTCTTACGTATGTATTTTATTTGGACAAAACTAGTTTTAAGAAGGAAAAGAGTTGAAACATAAAAGAACAAGCGTTGTAATAGTAGGGGAGCCCATGATGCTAAACGAGGATTTACTCGTAATAGTATACAGACATTTAGAGATTTCTTGCATTTTTTGCTTCAAACTAAATTTTTTTTTGTCCGCGTTCAAGAATGTCAAGATCGTGTGTTTTTTGGGCACTTTGTTAGCCTCCCACTGCCTTAAGTTACGCTCAAATCGTCAGATTTTTTAAAAACACACTTTTCGGCATGTATTTAAACCAACTTACTTGTATGGCGTAGGTACACAACTGGGTGTAAGCTATTCCTCCTTGTGTTAATCTGCCACGCTCGAGTAAATCCCTTTTAGGGCTTCCCTACTATAAGGCCTAATGTTCTCATAAAAGAGCAGGACTTCTTTATAAAAAAAATTATGGTATGGTTACCCGTCTGCTCGTTTGCCCCTCTTGCATAAAAAAAACAAATGTAAGTTCAACTATAGGTACGTCTTCAATATTAGAAATATCATGTACTTTGGCGATATGACGAATCTTACGATATATTGGAGTATCTTACATACAAGTTAAGACGCGAATAATCGGAATAATTGTTGTCGTAAGGCATTTGTATGATCCAAACTCTAGATGAGTGGAGTTAAGCGATTTTATTCCTTCATATTAATCGTATTAGTATAATATACTGTATTTCTAGGACTACTTAAATATCGATTGTCAAAAAAAGCTGGCTAAAAAAACAATAGACAGGAAATATACGTAGGTTTAGATGTATAAATAACTGAAAAAAAATATAACCAACTTCAATGCGTCTATACAATAATGAATTGTAATAAACTGTATTCGGGGCGTGCTCTCTGCCGCGAACCACCATAATAAGCAACAATCGATGCTCATTTTTTTGTTACCTAGGTACGCACAGTGATTATATCGGGCACGCCTCTATCGCGGCGGTAAGACCCGTTATGGAGGATTGGCTTGAGAGGTATCACGGGGGGCCCTCTCTTACCGGCTGATGCAGGTGATCACTGGGCAACGATGCTTCAGAGATCACCAGTGTCTGATCCGCAAGGAGCCAACGCCTGAGTGCCACCACTGTGATGGCCGGACCGTGGACACGGCACTCCACACGCTGGCAGAATGCCCGGCGTGGTTGGAGCAGAGACGTGACCTTGTGGCGGCCATCAGGGTGGGATTTCTCTCACTCAGTAACATCATTGCAGCCATGGTGCGGAGCGAGAGTGAGTGGAACTCTGCTGTCTCCTTCTGTGAGCAAGTTATGCTTGCGAAGGAGATGGCGGAGCGGGACCGGGAGAGGTTTAGAACTCTCCCGGCCCGCCAGGTCCAGGCACGGGCCAGGTACTGCAGGCGCCTCAGGCCGAAATGACTTGGGAACCTCATTTTTTTTATACTGGTTAAAAAGTAACATTACCTCTCTTTCATTTTCTACTGCAACTTCATCACTGGTGGTGGTAACGGCACAGGAATTTATTTGTCCTAATTCTACAACAATATTAGCTAGGCATTTTGATTCACCAACATCCCACAGTTTGGCAGAACCATCTCTGTAAATGAAAAAATGATAGTTCAACAACCAGCAAAACAGGTTCCTAAATAATGGACTTATGTTGGATTGGAATTAAGTCAAGCTGAAATACAATTGTGAGTACAACACTGGTCTATTCACGTTAAGTATACTGACGCATCGATCAAGCTTTGCCCCCTTTTTTTTTTTTTTTTTTACGTGTGGAAATCCCCTTGGACCGTCACCCCGCCGGGGCTCTAGTTCGGCGGGGCGGTGTGTCGGACTCGAACCGACTAAAACCACACGGTGTGCCGCCCTCTTTGCGCTTCCAGTTTAGGAAGGGTCCAGGTACCTATCTCCTTCTGGACCCCTCCCAGCGCCGGCCCGCTCCTGACGCGGGCTCCGTCTCAGTGGACCCTCTCTTTAGGCGGCGTCCGGCACACGCGGACGCCGCCCCCTCGCGGCTGGCCAACTAATGCGGGTGGAGGGGAGAACCCATCCCGTCCACCCGCGGCCACACTCAGGGCGGCATGAGGCGCAGGTGAGCGCGCCGATCAGGTCCGAATGGAGGTCGTCCTCCCGGGCCTTCTCCGCCGCCTCCTTCTGCGAGATTACCTCCTCGCAGAAGGTTGCGACCGCGGTAAAACAACTGTCGCTACTGGCCATGGAGCGAATTACGGCCGGTAGCGAGAGATCTGCTCCGATGACTGCAGTGAGGGCCCGGCGCTGCGTCGCCCATGCGGGGCAAACCGCCAGCGTGTGCTGGGCCGAATCCTCACCGCAGTCGCAGTGGTGGCAGGCGGGACTCGATTCCCTCCTAGCGACCGAGTACAGGTACTTTCCGAAGCAACCGTGCCCGGAAAGCACCTGCGTCAGCCGGAAGGAAAGGGTCCCGTGCTGCCGCCCTGCCCACTCGGCGATGACCGGCTGGAGAGCCTCCACGGCGGCGAAGCCAGCGCGTGGAGTCTCCAGCCGGAACGACCATCTCACCATAGTGGCTCGGCGAGCGGCTTCGCGCCACTCGCGCACATCTTCGGGCGGAGGGCGAAATCCGCTCTCCGCCCGGAAGTCAGCCACTCGCCGATAAACTTCGGCGAGCACTTCCGCCTCCAAATCCCACGGGGGTGTTCCGGCCAAGGCGCAAGCCGCCTCGGTGGACACCGTGCGGTATCCGCGTATGGCTCTGACCGCCAATATCCTCTGGGGGCGCCAGAGGCGCGCCCTATTCGGGGCAGTCAGAGCCGCCACCCACACCGGTGCACCATAAAGCGCCATGGACCGGACAACCCCCGCGTACAGCCGCCTCGTGGGAACACTGGCCCCGCCCAAATTGGGCAAAAGTCGCCCTAGGGCGGAGGCAGTGTCCACCAGCTTCGGACCAAGCTGTCGGAAGTGCTCGTCGAAGAGCCACCTACCGTCTAGGACCAGACCCAGGTACCTCATCTGGGCCCGGACCGAGCCGACCTCGATTGAGGCGCCGGCGGGTGGACCACGACGGGGCCGATGAAATAATAGGGCCTCCAGGGTCTTATCCAGGGCCACCCGCAAACCCAACGCCTCAATGCGCCCGACCACCAGGGAAACTCCCGTGGCGGCCAGGCGCGCCGCCTCCTGGAAGTTAGCCCCCCGGGCCGTGAGCAAGGTGTCATCCGCGTAGCAGATTACACCCAGCCCGGGGGGGAGACGCCCTCGTAGGGCCCAGTCGTACCCGATGTTCCACAGGAGAGGTCCTAGGACAGACCCCTGCGGAACACCGCACGACATGGCCCTGCGTCTCAAGACGCCATCTCGGTCCTCGTACATGACGGTTCGCTCCTCAAGATAGTCTGCCACCAGCCGCCTCAGGTACTCCGGCACTCCGTGGTAGCGGAGCGCTTCCCTGACGCAGCTGAATGGCAGACTATTGAAGGCGTTGGCGATGTCCAAGGACACCGCCAACACCACTCCGCCGCAGCTCACGGCCTCCTCGGTCACGGCCCTAAGGCGCATTACGGCATCGATCGTCGAACGCCCCTCTCGGAAACCGAATTGGGCGTCCGACAGATCGGGGCCAACCTCGCAAAGGTGCCGGACGATGCGGGCAGAGAGCACCCTCTCAAAAAGTTTGCCCGCCTCGTCCAGCAACACGATAGGCCTATAGGCCGCGACCGAATCGGCAGGCCGTCCCGGCTTCTGCAGCAGGACTAGCTTCCCGCATTTCCAGCGCTCAGGGAAGCGTCCGGACGCCAGGCTAGCGTCCAACACCCCCCTGAGGTGGTCCGACATGTAGTCGAGGGCTCGGGCCATCACTCGGGCTGGAACCCCGTCCGGCCCGGGGGCGGTGTTCTTGGATCGAATCCGTAGAACAGCCGTCCCCAACTCCGATTCCCTGACGGGCGGAACATCAACCTCGCTGCCCCCGTCGTCTTCGGCTGATGCAGCTATCGACGGGGGTGTGTGCTCCGCCCGCTGCGGGAATAGGCCCTCGACCACTTCCTGCAGGAAGCTGGGCTGGAGAGTCTCCGTAAGGGGGGGGCCCGACGTGCGGAGCTTTTGACGCACCGCACGATAAGGGCGACCCCAGGGGTCACGCTCGAGACTCTCCAGCATCTCCTCTCTACACGCATCCTTGGCGCGGCAGATGGCCAGCCTCAGAGTTTTCCGAGCTTCTCGGTACTCCTCATGAAGCCGGTCCACCTCCTCACCGACCCCGCGGTGACGTCGCCGACTACGGGTGAGGGACCTCCGGGCGCGTACACAGGCCGCACGGAGGTCCGCCAACTCCTGGGAAGCTTTGCCCCCTGACCAATCATGTTCGAAGAAATTATCGTTTCGTACAAAAGCTTGGAATTTGATTGGTGAGAGTGGGGAGCTCGATCAATGCGTCACTATTTTCTTAACGCGAATGGACTATAGATTACATAATAATATAAGCATTTAATTTTATAATTTTTCTATTCTTAAACTATTTATTATTTTATTTATAGTACAGACTGCTTAGTTTGAAACTAGATGGCGCTTTGTGTCAGATGTCCAAAATATTATTATTTTTAAAGCTTCTTACTTGCTTACTGATATAACATTTCTTCCCTTTTCAACAATACATATATCAGTGACTGCCATGGTGTGGCCTTTTAGTGTGACAGGGTTGATACCAGATTCCGCTGACCAAATTCTACATGACCCATCAGCTCCAGCAGATAATATAACAATGCCAGATGGAAAATATCTACATTTATAGACTGGACCTCCATGCCCTTTTAGATCTAAGATAACGTCACCTGGAAATAGAAGAGTGTAATTTGATTATGTTTTCATTTTTGTTCAGTTGAATGAATTTTACAGTGTTAACTTATAGCCGAGCGATCATATTCCTAGTCATAGTGGGAGTGCGAAAATTAGAGCACATATATGTGCTGGTACCCAACATGAGACTCCGATGACTCCTGCAGGAGACAAGGTTTATATGGGGTATGAGTATTAGCTAAGGGTCTGAAGGTCAGCAAGAATAGACTACTGCGACAACCACAGAAAATGCTATCCATCAGGTTCATAAGAAAGGGGGTACCATGTTTCTTTGAAGGAGTAAGTTTCCTGGCAGAACTCCACTGTGGCACCTGGAAGTGAGAGCCCCTGCGTCTGTCATGTTCTTATTGTTAGAAGATCTAAGCATGCTCTAAGTTCTTAGTATTAAAATATAATTTCTGTAATTTTTGTAAGATTTTGATTCTTTCTGAAGCTTTTGAAAGTTTCCTAGCTGATTCTAGAGTTCATAAGTAGAGGGGAAATGTAGCTTTTAATTATATCTGTGGCATACACTGCTTCTATAAAAATGATGTAAGGCCTAGCTTTTGCTGGCTAGTTATAACAGGTACTCCAGACTATATTGGGTCAGGGAATGGTGCATTGACATGCTCTCTTTTATTACTTTTAATCTCATATTTATATCATCTTATAAACTTATAAAGTTAAGGAAAAATGGCTTTGGTGGCACACAACCACCTATTAGCAGATTCATGCCCATTCTCTGGATTTGTGCTGAGTACTCTCCTGGAGTTTCTTTTGATAGTAGGACATTAGGAAAGTAAGGATAAATTTGAGAGTTTTAAACTAGGATTTACAATGAGAAGGTAAAGAAAGAAGCATATTGCTGTTGTAGATCAAGGATCATATACTCAATACCACTTTAAAAAAACAATGATAGTAAATAATAAAAAAAAAATGCATTAGGAATTGGGATGGCAATTATTGATACTTTTAAATCATAATCATATTTTGAAATGATTGGTTTTATCCATGTGGTGACTGGCAAAGAATACAGAGTGTCACGACCCCTGTTCATCCCGTAGGTGTCGTAAGAGCCAACTAAGGGAACACTCTGCTGGACAACAGCACTGCAAATAGAAAGAAAACTTGAAACAAACCCCATACCAACCTGTCTGGCTAGCTGGGTATAGTAGGCCAAAACCTCCATTGTAAGGGCCAGGCCTACATCCAGCAGTAGCCTGTTGATGACAATGATTGGTTTTAGTCACTGTGATTTCACCTGTCATAAATCACTACTGGGTTTTGGTCATAGACAATGATAAATGCGTTCAAAAGCTTAACCAAAGAAACAAGTAAACTTTTTATCAACTATGTATTTTTTTTTAATTAACCCTTTCGTGAGTCTGGCACTAGGGTAATCATGAAGTGTAGTGTATTTGTAATTTATTTATTTTATTTTAAACTTCATGCACATGCTGTACAAAGGCGGACTTAATGCCATTAGGCATTCTCTCCCAGTCAACCTTCAGGTGATGTTGAAATATGATGCGGTAGGTGCAAAGAAAATATTAAATTTCACATAATTTAGGTCCAGAAACATACACAATATATAAACACACATACATACATAAACCTACATAAATTTAATAAAATATATAAATACTCACTCAGGTACTAGCATTGTAACTGTATAGCCAATTCACCCCGAAGAAGAATTAAGTTACAGGTGTGATTATATGATTCATAACAGGTAATAGTAATTTATTTTCCATCCCTCCTAGGATATGTGACTTACAGGAGACTTAACAAATGGACATAAAGAATACGCAGACTCAGATCACACAGTATTGTCCCATGTGGGACCTACATCACTGAGCGCATTAAGAAGCGGCAAGGAGACCACTTCAACCACTACCCCATTGGTGCAGTCAAATTCTTTTATAACTTACTTGTTCTACTGTCCCATACTAATAGTTTATCTTCTTCACATGAAGACACTGCTAACGCGTTTTCAGCAACTGACACAGACAGTACTCCCTTTTTATGTAATTTATGACCTTTAGATGGTGCCACAAAAGCCACCCTGAGATCCGATTCAATGTGATTGACAACCAAGCACAGGGGACTAAGAGAAACGAATTGATAATTTCCTGAAAAATTGATTTTGATTTTTCCTTCACTACAAGTTGTTGTTAGTTTATCGTGAATACTGTTTTTATTAATTTCTTTTGAAGATATCCAGGCTTCAGCGTTTGGCAATCTGCAAGAATAATATTTTAGTTTTAGAATTTAATGTTATTCATAGTTCTCCTGTTTTTTTTTTTTTAAAACTAATGTTTATTGTGTTTTATAAGATCTAATACATCTATTTTACCTCACAACTTCATTCCAATCACATTGGATGGTTATAACCGGCATTCGCATTGACATTGTTAAAACTCCTTGTAATGCAAGTATTCTGAAACTCAGTCAGTCAAAGCAGTATTTTAGTTTTAACTAGATAGACTTACAAAAGTAAAAGAACCAAAACACAATTTTTAAATATTATATACTCATTCAAACGTCAATGTCAAAATGGACTGTCATGGGTAGAGATACGAAAAGTATCGATACTTTGTTAATTTCCCGTACTTGGTATTTTATTAAGTATTTTAGTGCACACATACAGCTACTATTCTCTTTACATAACATGCAAGATGTAGGTTAACAAGAAGAAGGAGTGAGAGTAGTGAGTTTATAGGTTATTCTCGGGTTAAAGGTTAAAAAAAAGTGCTTTTGAAGTAGTGTTTGTGTGGTTCTATTCTGCTGCTTCTCTCTTCACTTCCCGTTTAAATAATAATATAATAATAATAAATATCACAAATCCCAAACTAGGCAGAGCCTGTACTATGGTAACCAGACTGCTGATAAACATACTTATATATTTTTAAATACATACATCTTATAGATAAATTACACCCAGACACAGAACAAATGACCGTGTTCATCACACAATATTTGTCCTGGGTGGGAATCGAACCCGGTTTAGCAGGCAGGGTCACTAACCACTAGACCAACAGGCCCGTCTAAATTCTGGTCTTTATGACTTAAACGTTTCGCTTTTAGACCACAATCTTTCTCTGTCTGTTACTAAATTTAGTGCCCTTGTTTTGTAATATCTCTGATATTAACCTCTCTGTGGCAGGTGAATTAATTCCAATAAAAGATGACGTAAAGTTTTTAGGCCTCATTTTCGACTCTAAATTATTAGGTATTCACCATTTGAACCATGTCATTAAAAAGTCATAGTACTATTTTACTACGAAAATACCTTTAATGACAGAAACTTGATCGGAACTTGTATTACGAGAATTGGCCTCCAGAACCCCCTCGTATCGGCCGAAGTGATCCCAAGTGGACTGCGCAGGTGATATCGGGATGAGAAAATTAATATTTTTTAACGAAGCAACCGGATAATAATGCAGTTGCTTGAAAGTAATACCTAATTATTTAATGATATTTTTTTGTCAGCTGAAACAGTAGAGAATGAAAATAAATGTGGTGATTCAACCGCTTCAAAATTGGTGGGTTCAAAAACGTTGAAAAAAAAACTCTGTAATCACTATCCATTCAATACAAAAATACGATGAGCGATTTTGGACACCTCTGACGAATTTGTATTTCAATATCTTTGTAGAGAAGGCTATTGTGAGTTACTCTACTCGAAGATTGCCTGTAGATTGCTTTTGTATAAGGTTAACGATTTTCTAAGGGATATCAAAATCGAGGAGCCAAGATCATATACAGGTCTACTTCAGCCTATCAAAGGATTTTTCGAAACCTACATTCTGATGCCTGTTTCAGGATGTTACGAAGAGTATTAATTTGGTCGTAGCATGAGTGATTCGGGGGAAACTCAACCTGCTTCTTGGGCGAGGTTTCAGATCCAAAATGAACTCGCAGAAATCTATAGATGGTATCGAAAGCAAAGTTATTCATAATTCCTCTCCAATTGCTGCATTCACTGAAATCTCTCTTTTGGACCCGATTTTCAAAAACTTTGTTTTGTCACGTAAGATTTCTTCATTTATCTAAATTTTCTAGACTATTATAAATTAAATGGAAGATTTCAGCTTTCAACATTTTTGTTGTAATAAGTTTGAGACCTGAAGCTTTGCCACTGTTTGGATGGATGGCTCTATCCTACCTCGATGTCACGAAGTATAAGTTACACGGGTGTGAGTTGCAATTTATTTTTCACATCAACATATAGATTGGAAGACCTCTTCAATGTGCTTACGTCTGCGTTACAGTTGCTGTTTAGACTTCAAAATGAGTAGCCCAAAGTGGAGATCAAACGAGAGGTTTAGAGACGAGCGACAAAGCGGGCAGGTTATACCACCAAAGAGTAGCAGCGAGCAAATAGTTACATGACATTTTAATTATTCTATTAATATTCTAAATGGTAAGCACATACATTTATCAAGACTCTCCTCACATCACTCGTAATACAAATAAAATGAATAAAAACTATTAAAATTGATGACGTAAATAGTCGATAGTTAAAACATTTATCATCATTCATCGACTCGAGTCTCGACACTCGACAGGTCAGTCTCTAATGGATAAGTAATCGGAGTCTGTGTTTTGGAAAAGAAACAAAAATAATAAAAAGTGGGCGATTTATGCTAGTGTTCGTGTTTGTTGTTTATAAGGATAATATAATTTTAATTCAGTGATAAAAGATCGTTGTGACGAAGATTATGCCTTTATAGCAGTTACCAATATGCATTTTTCCATTCCTGATTCGCAACAGTTTCACGACGACAATGGTATTTCATATACGGTAATGTTTCTCATAAATACTACTAATATTTTCATCCTATTTTTTTGACAATTCTTTATTAATTATTTTTGTAATAATACATATAGTAGTGATAGCTAAACTTTAGTTTATGTCACTGTTTCGATTAAATAATAAAGTTTTTCATTTTTTTTTGTAGGGCTATAACATACACATTGATGGCGTTTTTCATTGCACTGCTCGCTACAAGCAGCTCCTCAGCCTTCACGAACAGTTACAGGCCCAAAACCCTTATACTAAATTACCACAGTTTCCGCCAAAAAAATTGTTCCTGACCAATTCCCAATTAGAAGAAAGGAGAGCCTTGTTGGAAAAGTACATGCAACTTGGTAATTTTCTAACTTACTTTCTATGAGGATATATTTTGTTGCATATTAATAACACAGTGGTTATTTTATACACAATATAACTTGTATCCTTATTTACATTACAAAGGTCATATCAACTGCCGAGGACACGGGAACAATAAATAAGTAATCTTTTTTTTTCAGTTGGCCAGAATCCTCAGCTTACAGGCTCTGACCTTCTAATAACTTTCTTATTCTCGGCTCAACAAGAAACACACAATGTCAAAATGCATGAAGTAGAAATTGAAATCTCTTTAATGAATGGTTATAGAATACCTCTGTCAGTGTCTTCCATTGACTCGTCAAACACTATATTAGACATTGTATGTACATCGGTGAACCTACCTAAGGAGCTGGTCAAGTACTTTGCATTGTATCTTTTTAACTGGAGTTGTGCAAAAGATGGACAGCCAGCATTGAGGAAATTGGAAGAATATGAATCTCCATACATATCCCAGAAGTATGTCAGAGCAGAAGATAAAATTGTTTTAAGAAAAAGGTACCTTTGTATTTTACGGTATCTTTGTTTTATTTTTTTAATTCAAAAAAGTTTCTGTAATTTGGGTTGCATGTTTCAGTTACTGGGACCCCTGTTATGATGATGATTTAATGATAGACAGGGTGTCGTTAGATTTATTGTATCTACAAATAATAGAGGATTTGGATCTTGGTTGGATAACAGCAGACCAACAAACAAAACAAATATTATCATCATATGAATCCAACAAACAGAAAAGAGAGGTAGGTAAGATATATAACCTTATTAATTTTGTAGTAGTGGTAGTGTCATTCCTAAGGCGTCAGACTTGCAGTTCTGGGTGTAAAACCCATGCAGTAAACTACAATATACTACATATGATGTAACGAAGGAAGTTCGCTGAGGGAAAAAGAAGACTAGCAATGTTGGTAGTATTTTTTCTTAAAAAATATTTATGAGATTTATGATGTGATCTCAGAAGAAGAGAGAATAGTTTTGTTGTATGATTTACAGAAACTTTTATTTCCATTTATTTATCACCATCTCAGTTCTAGACAAGAATACAGAATGAAGCTGTTATCAACATGTTTATCTACAAAGAATGTGGGGTCAACCCAGGGTAATAGATTTTATAATTGTATTTAGAGTGGTAGTCTTATCATTTTATTATTGTGACACTGTTCCAAGATAGTTAAACTTGTTTATAAGTATATAGTTTTAAATGTGACAGTATTTACTATAGAATAGCGAAAACTAATTTAATAGCTTTAACTTTGATAGATTTGCTTATTAGATTTTTTTGTTCAATTTTGGGTGACAACCTTTTAGGTTATGGGAAACCAAATTTGTAGTATCTATTGCCTTTACAACAAACAATAACTATTCGAATCAGACTTAGATACAGAAAAAGAAAATTCTTCTTTAAAAAAAAGTGGAAAGGACTTCAAACAATGCTAACAAAGAGCCCTAATAAAAACCTAGCAGCATTAGCAGTTGCTTTGCTGACATTTTTTGAAGAGTTCCATTGTCTGTCTCCAAAATTCATCATCAGACCAATGGACAATTTAAATGGGACCATTTCCGAATAAACCCCTCTCAAATAAAGAAAAGAATTTTAAAAATCGGTCTATGCCCAAACATACATAAAAAAAATATATCCGAATTGATAACCTTCGCCTTTTTGAAGTTGGTTAAAAATAAAGTTTTTTTTTTTGCAAAGAACAAAATGGTTATTGGAACATTCTGATCCTCTGCCTTCTTAAATAGAGAATGAATGTGTGTTGGGGTCAGGCAATCATTGTTCAAATAGTCAATAGACAGAAGAGGCAGTCGTTTCGAGTCTACAAACACTTAATATGGTACAATCAGTCAAACAAGGACAACTAAGTGGGACAAAAACCATGGACCTGACAGCAAGGTGAGGGACAAATCCCTGATGAAATTTAAATGTTGGGTCAAAAAATCGAGATATTTATCATGTATCAATGTTGTTTTAGCGTCATTGACCAGCTGTTAATAAAATAGTCGATGAACAAATATGATCGTGTCATCGATTACTGATGTATTTTAAGGTTTAGATGATGTATGAATCACACTCGTGTAATACATTACTTACTAATTTATTATACAGCCACGCCAATGTCAATGAAGATATGTTTTAAAGAAGCGCCCACTTAGTCACTTTTTGTAAAATACGAACTCCTTTTTTATTACGCAGGCGGGTAAAAGAATAAACATTGATTAAATGCTTACCTTTATCAAATATTTTTACTGTTCAGTGTCATTACCATAAAAAATTATAGAATGAGTGCGATCAAAAAGTACTAGTATAATACCTAGCATTTCTCCTCAGCTCCGCCCGCGTGTAGGTAGCCTATGTTACTCACAGATAATGTAGCTTTCAATTGGTGAAATAATTGTTAATATCGGTTTATTAGTTGCGTGAAAGTGTAACAAACAATCAAAGAAAATTACATTTATAAGTATGGATAATAATAACCTTACACATTTCAACCACGGTCATCCCATGGTAACCAAAATGCTGAAAAAACAAAAGTTATATATTAGTATTTTTAAATACATACATATATCTACATAAATTACACCTAGACACAGAGTGAGTGAGACTCATCACATAGTTATTTTTCCTATGTGGGAATCGAACCCACGGTCTCTGGCTTAGCAATCAGGGTAACCGATAGATCGACAGGTTTACTATCATTGTTATAACAAAACCTCAGCGTGCTTACATGTCCTGCAACAATAAACCACACGTTTTGCAAATATTTTGTTAAGGTAAACGTGCTTTATCTTCATTTATGGTTAAAATAAACATACTTTTTCATACTAAAAACACAAGCGATATTCATAGGTACCATAACAAAAACATCTTGCAATTTTACGTGTACACTAAAGCTCCATCCGATTATTACATTTGTAGGTAGTTATTGTTTTTGTGCACATTCATATGCTTGATTTTTCGTATTTATGCATAGAGAATATTTGACCGAATTTCGTGGTAAATGTACCGCAAGTTACCTGAGAATGATTACGCACGCCTGCATTTTTTTAAATTGGTGCCCGCAATCTGCTATAGGTATCATGCAAATAAATTGGTCGGCGCACTTTTCTTCTTTCATTCTCTTCTATCACTCGGCAGTTTACTGCTTATTCCCTTTCTAGTCATAATTTAGTTTACGCAGTACATTCACATAATCTTTTATTATATAAAACCGAAATAATGCTCACTCACTTATCTACTGATTAATTACGAAATCTAGAAACTGACTTAACCCATGACAATAACAAGCTAATTATTAAAATAAAATAAAAAATCCGACTGTAAAAATGTATACATATTTAAAATTTATGAACCGGGGATTTTAATTTAATCATTTACATATAGTCACTCACAATTAAGACGAATCTAACGACACCTAAAACGTCGAAATCCATTTAGGCTACAGAGCCTTTCAAAGAAAGTTACCCATCCATAAAACATTCAATGATGATGATGGAATTGCCGATTTGTACTGAAATTTGGAACTCGTTTTTTCTAAGATATGACATATTTATTTAATCAAAATATTTACCCTCATGATCTATACATTTCTGCCATCTAAACGGAATTTCATTTATGCCTGAACTCTGGGGATCGACAAACTGTGTGAAAGCATTTTATACTGCCTCTTGGGAAGAAAATTTTGTATCACATAGAAAATTTGACCAAATCACAAAAAATAGGCAGTCCGTTGTAGCAAGGTCTGGCGAGTACGGATGATGACGTATGGCTTCTAACTGCAGCTCCTGTAGAGTTACAAACGATTTCTCGTGCAGTGTGAAATCTTGCTTTATCATGGAGCAATAAAAGTGAAGATGATTCACGAGTCGGGGCTGTTTCACTGCCAGTTTCGCCATCATTGTTCGAAGTTCGGTACAGTAAACATCTGCTGTTATAGCCTGACCAGACCTGAAAAAGCTATAGTGAATAACACCACGAAGAGACCACCAAACAGTTACTATTGCCTTTTTATTCGTAAGCTTTGCTTTAGGGCACTGTTTGACTTGGAGTCAGCCATTGCATTTTTCGCTTACAGTTATCGAAAACAATCCACTTTTCGTCACATGTTACAATTCGATCCAATATTCCTTCATTTCTGTACCGATTCCACAAGGCAACACAAGTTTCAACATGCATTTCATTCTGCACATCAGTCAAATCATGAGGCACCCATTTTTCATATTTTTTTATCTTATTGATTTGGTGCAAATGAGTCAAAATTGTAGGTAGGGTAACGATTACGGCTTCCACCATCTCTTTCAATTCAGTGTTATTCACCTGTGTGGGCGGTCTTCCACGTGGTTCGTTCTTCAAGTCGAAGTTTCCATTACGAAAGCGTTAAAACCAAAAACACACGGTTCATTAGCAGTCTCCTCTGACAGAGGTTGACGCACAACGAACCGCAGCGTTGATATTGCGAGCCGTTGCTGCGTTTGTTTCGCGTCGGAAGTCGTATTAAAAAATTATTCGGCTTTTCGAAGTATCCATTCACGTCTAAGCTAAATATAAAAACAATTGAAAGTCGAAAATCGAATGTTGCACATTTTTTTATTAAAGTTTCACACGAAAATCTCACACCATGAATTCAAAGTATACAACGGCAATATTATACTTTAACCCCTATTATAAAATAAACATACTGTTCAGGCGGGGTATACAATAAATTAAGGTAGTCGGTTAATTACTAAAATTACACTATATTTACAAATACTCACTATTACAACAAGAAATCACTATATAACTCGTTAGTCGCACCAGAAATTCGCTTCCATGTTAATTCGCTGTCTTTATATAAAAAATAACCCTCTTTTTGGCACAGTCGGGTAAAAAACAGGAACGGATGTCGTTTAGAGGTTACGATAGGACCGTGTTTACGGCCCCTAAGGGCCTTCGAAGATTTTGAAAATTCTGCTTTTTTAGACCTGAAATTACGTCAGTCAAGGACCTTAGAACGAATTTCGAATTAGGACTGTAGTTTTTTCAACAAGACTTGGAATCTGCCCGTGAAGTGGTTGATAAGAAGGACACGTCTGCTAAGACAGACCGATTTTGCTACTGGTCAAATTAGTAAGGCTGAGTGTGTCAGTTTTTTAATCCTTGGTTCATATAGGACATCTATGCAATTTAGGCAGGGGGTAGTTTAGAAAGGAAACTGATGTTAAGAAGTCACATACTTTATGGACAGGAGATGTCTGCAAAATAATCGGTTTTTTGCAGCGTTAGTATAAAATATTTAGGAAATAAAGGGTTTGATACATTAGTAAGCAATGTGAGCATTTTAAGGCTATGAAGTCGCGGGACATAGTTTAGCATTAAGAAGTTGGAAGAATTTTCTCGCACTATGTTTTATGGAGGTTTGACCCATGATGCAAGTCTGACGAATTAGCTATTACGCCACAGCTCTATGCTATATTTATTCTTACCCCCAAAACTAAATTTGTTGCAGTTGATGGATTATTGTTACAAGGTTAGCGCAATTGCAATGCAAAAATAATAATGAATAATACATACCTAATATTTTAAGATGTATGTAAGGCGAAACGATAAGCTGAAGACTTGGTTTTCATTTGAAACTTAATCATACTTATCTCTATTGAAGGAACAGTTGAAACGACGCAATAATTACATTGAATTATTACAGATTTTCAAGCAACATTCAGATTTATTTTATGCAAAACTCCGACTTAACATTTTTTAAATAGATTTCATTTCAGTTTATTTTTTAGTATAAACCGGATTGTGTTAATTGCTCACGTTTTCCAGTACATTGAATTAGCAAGAACTTTGCGTCACTACGGTCGAGTGCCTGCTGGTGAGGCGGTGACGGAATCATCGAACATGTCAGGGGGCGGTTCCGATAGCACATGCCGGGTGCGCGTGTCACTCGCTTCTAAAGAACTGACCTTGACAAGCATAGACCAGCCCCACAGAGAGCAACGGTACAAAGTTACACGAATGAGATGTTGGAGAATTACAACTTTGCACACTGTGAGTAACAATTAAATTTTATATGGCAGCTTCAAAATGTTTTTTATGTTCCTAAATACACGGAGGCAGGACACAGGCGTCTGCTTTGTCACTTTCCAGCAGCACCCTAGAGTAATAGTACTCTAGCTAGAGTGAGAACTATAGAATTTCACTACCCTTTTTTTTTCCGTGCGGAAATCCCCTCGGATACCATCGGTGGCATGTCGGACTCGAACCGACTAAAACCGCACGCCGTCTCGGGTACTAATAGCCGGGGGAACCAGGTATACCCTAGAAAGGAAGTCCCTGGTGCCCCGACATACCTCGGGCCATCCACAGACAGACGACCCCCCCGTGTGGGAACCCCATGTTTCCTCTGCTCCCTGGAAGCGAGCGCGCTTCGCAACGCGCTCGCCGCCACCCCGGCCTGTTTCTGCAAGCGTGACAGATGGCCTCACCTGTCACCCTCAGGCCTGCGCTTATGGAGGACGGAGGTCGTAATTTCACTACCCTTAAAAAGAAAACGGATCAACTTCGATCCTCTCCTGCGGCTTAACCTCCGTATCAGGACTTTCGCCTCCTCGGGTGCAGGCAAATGCATATGAGTGAGTCAGATTATTCGGATCTCTCTGCCTGCCAAGCAAATATTGCGCGTCTGTATTAGCCAATGATAACAAACTACACTGCTCGCCGTGAATCTGTAGCAGTGCTAATTATTTGAAAGAATAATATATGCGTTTAATTTACCGCGATATTCTTCTAAACGGTGGAGGTTTCTTGCCTGTAGAAAAATATGCTACATACCTAATGACGATATTACTTACATGAGTTTTAATAACAGGAAAATTACTACTACTTCTGTCTCCAAATTACCAACATATTAAGTATGTGTGAAAATATGTGTTAAATATATTAAGTGGTCTTCATTTGGAACACCCACCATATTTTGTACCCATTGTAACCTATGAACTTAACTTTAATAGGACTTTACTCCTTTTTACATCTAACTTATCCTTATAATGTTACAGATGGAAAGGTCACAAACACAAAACGGTCATGGTCCTTTGCTCGAAGACCCGAGCAGAAACTTCGAGCTGTCGTTTGAATATCTTATTAGTAAAGACAATTTGAAATGGATAACCTTGAGAACGGAACATGCAACTTTTATTAGCGTTTGTCTGCAGGTAATATATCTTATATTGAGATTTCGCTTACTCATAACACTGAAGTTAAATCTGGTTATGACGGAATTAATCATAAAAAAATGACGTGACGTTTTCTACTTTCAAGTAATATATGACCCACACGGTCAATTTCAAAGTTTTTTTTTTATTGCATTTAATTGTGGTTGTACTCAAGGTTAAATGGAAAAATGCAATTTATTATGATTTGCGTGCAATAATTAATTAATAAAAGTTACTTATACATAATTTCGTAATAAATGTAATTAAATAAAAGTTGAAATTTTAATTTAACAGACCAATTATCAAAGTTAATTGTTACAAAATTAAACAAGCGTAACGTAACGTGTTCAACATAAATTCGAAGTTAAAATACTTAAATCTTTGTAAGATTAATAAATATTATTGAAAACCACACCATGTGACTGTAGTAATTTGTAAATTTTAGTCGATTGTGGATGAACTGATGCGGCAGAAAGACTGCAAGGGTCCGGCGTCGCCGCAGTACACAAAGCGCGGGAACTTCACGTTCGTACGACTCGACGGATCTAGCCAGCTCATCACGCCTTCCTCTTCGAGCGATACCCTCAGTTCTACCGTGAGTAGTAGTAGTATCTGTTCTAAAATAATAAGACAGGAATTAGTCTAAAAAGGCAGGTCAGGCTGATAACTAATCGTTATTTTTTATATTGACTTAACATTATTGAAGACAGCGAGATTTTAGACAAAAATAAAAATGCTTTGCTTCACGTTTACGTCATATACCTTACATCTAGTTTTATCGTTGAAGGTTGGTCAAGGATAAAATTAAAGTGAGTCTAGGGATCCAACTTTTTACTCAGCAGGGGAGGTTCAATTGAACCTAGTCATGAGTCGATTGCCTATTTGAAATATCGTGCACATCTATATAGATCCCCTGAAGAGGCCTTGAGTGGATCTATAGTTCCATCATTGTATTACTCTGTGACACAATGCTGCTCTATAATTTAACTCGCTAGAGATGTGTTGCGAATCAAGCCATGCAATTAGGGTATAAAATTTAGTATACATTCTACACAATGCTATATAAGTAGCATTTTAGCCTAATTGAAGTGCGTAGTTAATGAGAAAATTATCATTCCGAGACCAACTTCATTAGTAATCGCAAAAAACCATAAAGCTTCTTTATGCAAATCATCATCATCAACGCTTTTAGTAGTCCACTGCTGGATATAAGTCTCTTTAAAAAGGAGGTTGTGGCCTACTATATCACGCTGGCCAGACGGGTTGGTATACGGTTTGTTTCATGTTTTGCTTCTCTTTGCAGTGCTTTTGTTGCAAGCGCCATGATCACGGATGATCATTTGTGATCATGGCGCTTGCAACTCCGATAATCACTAATTCCCGAAAATTTACATGGTAAATATGTAAACACCAAAATACTCCGAAATATTTAATTCCGAATTGCGATGTACTGATTTTCAGAAGTTTGAATTTCCTAATAAATACCTAAGAATTATAATGTCTATTATTAAAATTCACCAAATTTATTTTACCGAAAGTCGTAATTGTTTTTCCGATTTTTATACGTTCGGCGAATCAAATGCTCGATGTGTTTTCGGTCTAAAAACCGGCGTTCCGATCGAATAAACTGCTAAAATTAGGATTCTGATTCAGTTAGTTTAAAATATTATATTTGAATCAGTCAAAATCTATAAAGCACGTTTAATATCATTTAAATTAATGTAATTTTCTTTTCTACTGTTATTGAATTCTTTGAGTAATGCGTTAGGTTAGGTTGGAATAGTGGCGATTAACGCCAGATCCCCTCTATAGCTGGTGAATCATTTGAATTATGTTAGAACTGTGAACATTAAAGGGGGAAGGCGAGCGAGCGTGGCGCGGAGGTAGGGGCGGCTGTTCTACGGATCCGTTCCAAGAACACCGCCCCTGGGCCAGACGGGGTACCGGCCAGAGTGCTGGCCCTAGCCCTCAACCACATGGCAGACCGCCTCGGGGAGGTGTTCGACGCTAGCTTGGCGTCGGGACGTTTCCCTGAGTGCTGGAAGAGCAGGAAGCTGGTCCTATTAAGGAAGCCGGGACGGCCTGCCGATTCGGTCGCGGCCTACAGGCCCATCGTGCTGCTGGACGAGGCGGGTAAATTGTTTGAGAGGGTTCTCTCTGCCCGCATCGTCCGGCACTTCTACGAGGTGGGCCCCGATCTGTCGGACGCCCAATTTGGTTTTCGGGCGGGGCGTTCGACAGTCGACGCTGTTTTGCGCCTGAGGGCCGTGACCGAAGAGGCCGTGAGCTGTGGCGGCGTGCTGTTGGCGGTGTCATTGGACATCGCCAACGCATTCAATAGTCTGCCATTCAGCTGCATCAGGGAAGCACTCCACCATCATGGGGTGCCAAAGCACCTGAGGCGGCTAGTGGCAGACTATTTAGAGGAGCGTACCGTCGTGTACGAGGACCGAGATGGTAATTTGAGGTGTCGGTCCATGTCGTGCGGTGTTCCTCAGGGGTCTGTTCTTGGACCCCTCTTGTGGAACATAGGGTACGACTGGGCCCTTCGAGCCGATTTCCCCCCCCGGGCTGGGTGCAATTTGTTACGCAGACGATACTCTGGTTACAGCCCGGGGGGCGAACTTCCAAGAGGCGGCGCGCCTGGCCACAAGGGGAGTCTCCCTGGTGGTCGGGCGCATTGAGGCGCTGGGCTTACGGGTGGCCCTAGATGAGACGGAGGCTCTGTTATTTCATGGGCCCCGTCGTGGACCACCCCCTGGCGCCTCAATCGTGGTCAACTCGGTCCTCGTACCGGTTCGGGCCCAGATGAAATATCTGGGCCTGATCCTCGACGGGAGGTGGCTCTTCGACGAGCACTTCCGACAGCATGCTCCAAAGCTGGTCGGCGCTGCGTCTGCCCTAGGGCGACTTTTGCCCAATTTGGGTGGACCCAGCGTCGCGACAAGACGGCTGTACACGGGGGTTGTCCAGTCAATGGCACTATACGGTGCACCGGTGTGGGCGGCGGCTCTGACCGCCCAGAATAGGGCACTCCTCTGGCGCCCTCAGAGGGTAATGGCGGTCAGAGCCATACGCGGTTACCGCACCGTTTCGACGGAGTTGGCGTGCGCGTTGGCCGGAACTCCCCCGTAGGATTTGGAGGCGGAAGTGCTCGCCGAAGTTTATCGGCGAGTGGCTGACTCCCGGGCGGAGAGCGGATTTCGCCCTCCGCCCGAAGACGTGCGCGAGTGGCGCGAAGCCGCTCACCGAGCCACGATGGCTCGTTGGTCGTTCATCGCCAAGTGGGCATAGCAGTAGCACGGGACCCTTACCTTCCGGCTGACGCAGGTGTTTTCCGGGCACGGTTGCTTCGGAAAGTACCTGCACTCGGTCGCTAGGAGGGAACTGAGTCCCGCCTGCCACCACTGCGACTGCAGTGAGGACTCGGCCCAGCACACGCTGGCGGTCTGCCCCGCATGGGCGACGCAGCGCCGGGCCCTCACTGCAGTCATCGGAGTGGATCTCTCGCTACCGGCCGTAGTACGCTCCATGGCCGGTAGCGACAGTTGTTTTACCGCGGTCGCAACCTTCTGCGAGGAAGTAATCTCGCAGAAGGAGGCGGCGGAGAAGGCCCGGGAGGACGACCTCCACTCGGACCCGATCCGCCGCCGGCGAACCGGGCGGCGGAGGCGCGCTTATCACCGCCTCATGCCGCCATGAGTGTGGCCGCGGGTGGACGGGGTGGGTTTCCCCTCCACCCGCATTAGTTTGGCCAGCCGCGAGGGGGCGGCGTCCGCGTGTGCCGGACGTCGCCTAAAGAGAGGAAAAAATTTTTGAGACGGAGCCCGCAACAGGAGCGGGCCGGCGCTAGGAGGGGTCCGGATGTCGTAATAACAGCTGTTCCCGGATCCCTCCTATTACAGGCGCAGAGTGGCACACCGTGTGGTTTTAGTCGGTCCGAGTCCGACACACCACCCCGCCGCAAACCCCGGTGGGGTGTGACGGTCCGAGGGGATTGCCACACGTTGAAAAAAAAAAAAAAAAATTAAGGTTAGAACTGTGACCAGCGAAAGAAAATAGAATTCGAATTTTTTATATTTCGTGTTATCATTAAGTCGGACTTTTTGTTATTCGATCTATTGAAACTCGTTATTTTGAGAATAGTAATTATAAACGTTAGGAATATTGATTTTATTAATTATAAAAATAGGATAAATGATCAATCGGAGTTGTTATAATAGGTATTTTTAACGATTCGGAATTATGAAATTCGTATATGTCACTGACGGAATAAAGTTTTTTGAATTTATTTAGTGTAGGTAGGTACCCAGTAAATATCCCGTTTAAAATAACTTATCAAGTGAGATTGACCATGGTATATAGATATAGATCAATAACTCTTTTTGTTTGCCTAATCTAAATGCTGATACGGCTGCAATTACCTAACATGTGTTGTTGTATGTTCATTTTCTATTTTCAGAATGGCGATTCTTACAATTCTGGAAGTTCGCGAGAACTATTTTCGGTGCAGAAACTCACAGAGAAGTTTGCCACCGTCTCTTTCAAATCTGGTAGAGACTGCGTAGAGAACAACGCGTTCGAGGCAATAGGAGACGAAGAACTATAAGGTTTCTTTTACCAACCATACGAATTTATATCCAATACAATTTTCCAAAGAAAAAAAGTAATCACTGGGAAATCTAGTTGCCAATAATGTAAATACATATTATTATATAAAAATTGATACATATTGCATTTTTCGTATTTGTACAGAATATTTTTTTGTATCTATTTCTCTTTATAGATAGATGTCACATTTACCTACTATTTAAGCGTATTTGGCTATGATGTTTTATATAAATTTGTATATCATATCAATCAAACAGTCTACTTGCCATATAAAATAAGTGTTCTACATCTAGTTACTAAGTAACAATTATAATTTTGCTCATCCCTTTATTTTAATAATTATATTGATTTTATATGAATTTATTTTTTTATGCTTGCCAATGTACAATCTTAGTGCAGGAAATCGGTTTCGTTGTTATATTTTACTTAATATTTATTTTGCCACTTTTCTTTAGACCAATTTTTCATTCTTTACATTGAATTACACTATGATGCACATATTAAATAACAATACTTTTTCACATTCTGTAGATATGAATTGGATGTCATCTTTTTCCGTGATAAGTAGTGTCTAGGTGACGTAAGTGTATAATTAAATAAAATCTCTTAGCATTAAAAGTCGCAGAAGTGGTTTTTAAGGTAATACTCGTATGTTACACGAGTTAGAAGTCTTTTCTAAACTTTTACTATTTGTGAATAGATCTCTTTTGTTTCTGGTTGTAAAGGTTGATAATGTGTAGAAGTAATATCTTCAATCATTCAAGTAGTTCTCAGTATAACAAGTGGCTAGTCTAAGAATATCCCTTATTAAGTTTAAATATTCTACACCATCCTAAAATAAATGAGCACGCAAGCAAGCACGTCTTGTATCTTGACATATACAACAGTAGAGCAATTTTTTTTTTACTACGCTACACGTTTTTATGTATTGATTATAAATATTGTATATTTATTTGCATTGCAGGTATGAAATTAATCTGAGTACATGTTTATTTAATTGAAGAAAATCCAGTTTCAGAGTTTCATTATTGGCGATAGCTTTAGAAGTAACTGAATAAATTTACCGCCTTTTTAAGACTAGTAGATTATAAAACATTTTTTTTGTATCGAGACTACCTGTTGCTCGTAGAGAACACACTCATAAACCATACAATTATTTTTCCATTTTCAAAAGTCGCCTCTCATTTGTTATGTACATTCAAGTATTTTTTATCAATTTACAAATAATGTTATATTGATTGCCAATTGTTAACTTTACAAGGTATATTTATCGTTATGAAAATTCGTGTTATTTTCGAGGGACCATTTTTATTATATTAATACTGTAGTTACAAAAATATAAAAAATCCGCCCTGTTCTTGCGGCCATAATATATTCTGTTGCCATATTTTCTTTTTTTATAATTCTCTTGTATACTTCAAAATGGATATTATATTTTATTTTGTACTTTGTAATTTTAATAAATCTGTTTTTAAATTACTGTATTTTTACTTATTTAAGTGGTGAAATTAAATTGAACAATATTTTAAAATAATAATTTAATAAAACATAATTACAACTTGTAACTTTCTAGATTTATTTAAATAATACACCAATCACAAAACATTTATTACTCAATAATTTTTCTCCCAGTTCTCGCGCTCTAATCGTTCCTTCTTTACAATTTCAACAACAGGTGATAGGTAGAGCTTGTCCTCTTCATACTTGGTCCACTCCTCTTTGGGGAGGATGTTTTTGGTAAGGGAGAGTTGAAGTGCGCGTACAATGCGGAAGTTACGCTCGTCGACAACATGTTGCGGAAGCCGACGTAATGCCTCCGTTACATCTTCAGTTTCATACAGACAGTCATCACGAAGTAGACCTATAAAGACAGAATAAGTATTAATATTATTTCTTTCATACTCCTCGAGTTGCAGGCGTCCATGGACAGTGGTAGTCACTTTTCATCAGCTCACCCGTCTGCTCATTTCATTTCATGAGAAATTCTAGGCTAAAATAATATTTATTAAAGTATGATATATATAACTTAAAATTAAAACAGTTCACTTATCACAGTCTGATATATGTTAAAGCTCTCTATTGAATAAAACAGTGTCTGTTGGTATTTTATGTGGCCACTATATGTTTGAAATGAAACCCCTAACTTCATGTTGAATTGGTTTATCAGGTAACCCTCAGGAGCCACCTTTCTTAGAGATTATTGCTTGTTTGATTGGTTATTAAATCATTTACTTATATGCAATTATATATCTAAAGGAATTGTAAGGCTTGTATGTACGCAAAATTAAAAAGCCTCGGTGGTGACAGATTAAGAATATATATTGTCACCACCCCTATTGATCCCATGGGTGTTGTAAGAGCTGACTAAGGGAACAAACTAGAAAAATAGCACTGTAAAGAGAAGGAAAACTTGACACAAACCCTATACCAACTTGTCTGGCAGTGTGGTATAGTAGGCCAAAACCTTTTAAGGAGTGGCCAATGTCCAGCAGTTATAAAAGGCAGGCTATAAAAGGCTATTTATGAAAAATATAAACCAAAAAATAATAATAATAAAAAGCTAGGCAAAGAATGTTGATAAACATACTTATATATTTCTTAAATCATACATATTATAGATAAAATACATCCAGATATAGAACTAATTATTATGCTTTACACAAAATTCTGTGTCCTGGGTTCGATTTGAACCCAACCCTCCATTTGAACCAAATAATTGTGTGTCTTAGCTTAGCTCAGGATCGATGGCCAGTACAATATAGAACTAGCAATCCTCTTCACGGATAATTATGTGATTATATATCAGATATAGGAGAGGCCTATTTCCAGCAGTGGACTACTAAAGGCAGTTTATAATGATGATGATGATGATATAAGGTATACACTAAAAACATACCATATTGGTTAAATCCAGCCATTTTGTAAGCCCATCTCTTCATGTTGGCTAGAAAAAATAATTTTAAATATTAGGTTACATAACAAATTACAACAAGCGACAGAAACTATTCTTGGTTATTTTGTAAAAAAAAATACGTACTACAGACAACTGCAGTTGCTCTGAAAGCCATCCTGGTGAATTCTATTAAGAATCCCTATAAGAACTTGGATTTAACACAAAACCAAAGAAATATCGAGATTTCGCATTAAAATGTCAAAAAGATCTGATTGACACAAGCATTGACCATTGCCATTTAAAATTAGATTAACAGCCACTGTAAGAATTCTACCATGATATCAAACAATCGCCAGGTTAAATTTTAGTCTGGAGTCTAGATAGTCTAGTCTAAACCAATATAGATGAAAAATATATTTAAAGGTTAATTCACATCAGATACTGACTTGCTACATAAATACAACACTTATATTATTTTCATTAACTTTTAATTTCATCTATATATATGGGGTCTACCAATTAGGGTTGTAAAGGAACTTCGCTTCCGCCTCCGTTACTGCGGAAGTTCTGCAAGAAATTGTACCTTCGCCTCCGCAAAACTTTTGCGGAGTTTTAACGGAGGTTTGTACGTCATACATAGAACATTAAAGCGCGAGCAGCGACACTCGACGACGACTCAGCCGTACAGCCGCGTGGCACAGAGCTCTAATGGGACTAATCCCACCCACACGCCCACCACTGTAACTCCTGTACACCAGGATCCACAGCAGTGACCCACGAACACACCGAGTTATGACACTCGGGAAGTCCCAGGAAGAAATTAAACTGTCTTGGAACCCGCAACGAAATTAATCAGAAGAAAATTGGAGGAGTTGGAAATACAGTAAATCCACTTCCCTCCTTAACAAAGCGGGAGACAAAATGAAGTAAAATGGGCATACACCCTTTTAAACAGGGAAGCACCACGGCTACAAATATTACGGGTCCTATGAGCTATGTTTGATTTCTATAATATGTATGGCAGAATCGCCTAAACGCACGGAAATTCACCCTAGTTGACACAAGATCCCCATAGTATACCGCCCCAGATGTCACCTGCAAGCTATTCAGCATTATATTATGTTCATTATACCAACGACTACATTCCCAGAGGATATGATGAGCAGACTGTTCATAGTGAGAGTTAGGTGTTGAGCATTGACACAATGGTGACTCGACTAATTTAAATGAATAAAGCTTGCTCTTAAAGTTACCATGACCCGGCACCGTCATTACCATGACGGTAGTTTAAAATTAAAAAACAAAGTGATTAGATAATCACCTATTGAAAGAATATTACTCCCAAAGTACTTGAGATAAAACTTTAGGTCCACTAATTTGAGTAAAAGTCGTGTGGTGTCGTGGGACACCCGATAGGAACGAAGTTGTGACGATCGAGTAAAACTGATTTTGACACGATTTTAATTACAACGCCATCTATGAAAGCGGCTATTACATACATATTTTGACCCCTCAAGCTATATCCTCGACAACCGTTCGCGAACAGATGGAAAGAATTGGTAAAGATGGCCCCCTTGGATGATTCATCCCAGCGTTGTTGCCATTCGTCTATGAGGTCATTATAGACATCGGGCTGCTGTTGAAGCAATCTTGTAATTTTACCCGATCCCGCGCGCCCAAATAATCGCATTCCATGTTTTGTTGTCTTGAATAGTACATGGCTGCACGTCTCTGCACCTCGAGATCGACCGGAAGCACACCCGCCAACACCGGCAAAGCCTCAGTGCTAACCGTCCTATATGCCTTACACAAGAATATCAGTGCAAGTCGTTGGCCTTGTAACAGTTTGCGACGGACAGCGCCTACAGTCGCCCTATCGGCCCATACAGGTGCACCATAGCACATAGAACCTAAATAAGTAGCTCCGTATATGATCTTTAATGTATTAAATGATAGACCCCATGCCGCAGTTGATATCCTTGTCAATGCACAGAAACTCTTTTTAGACTTTTCATTAACTATTTTAATATGATCGATAAATGAAAAGTTTCTTTCTAAAACTAATCCTAGGTAACACACTGAGGTTTTATTTTTTACAGTAACATTGTCAAATCTAATGCTTGGCGGTGATTTGAGGTTACCTTTTAAAAGTAGCTGGAAGGTTTTGTTGGGTGCAAAAGTTAAGCGATTACGTTCACCCCATTGAGATATCAAGTTCAAACATCTATTGGCTGATCTCTCAAGTCCCGCCCTAGTATCAGATACCACCAGTAATAAGCCGTCATCAGCATACGCGTTCAGAATACATCCGGATGGTATTGGTATCGCAAGAAAATCGTCGAAGCCGATATTCCACAAGTATGGATTTAGTACCGATCCCCGAGGACATCCCATTGTAAGCGCCTTCGACACAGAATGATGACCAAGTCTTAGTTTAGTTGTACCTTGTGAAAAGTACGAAGAGATAAGGGAATAAATATTTTTAAAGCACCCTCGTGATTTTAATTTCAGCAACAGTCAAAATTCAACGTGGAGAAGTAACATTAAATATGAAGCTTTTGCTCCCATCGTTCGCACGTACTTGTCGGCGAGTGAACAATTATTTAGTTCAGCTGGCTTAATTTACGAACCCCTTAGAAATCGTTTGGAAGGTGGCAGAACCGCAAAACTGTTATTTGTTAAATATAATTTGCCTCTCCTTAATTTTGAATACTGAATGGTAATGTTTATAGGTTTTATTAAGTGTACTATGAATGTACGTTTTTAAAATAAAGATTTTTGACTTTCAATAAACCAACCAAGACCATTGTATCAAACCATTTCGATACAATGGTCGGATGGCTTCAATTCTTGGGCCAAAACAATTTTGTATGGGTGTAGGCCCAAATCCAACCGCAAAATACGCCAAGTGGTCATTGGAGAGAGCCCCAACTCTTGTGAACGGCATTGAACTGATCGATTTGAATTCGCATCAACACTGGCCTGAACGGCTGCGATACTCTCTTCACTACGGGCATTTCTTTGTCTCACAGGCACAGCAGTATCATGGAGAGTGAATTTACTTTCAAATTTTGTTATTATGCGATTTATAGCGCGCACAGAAGGAGGTAACGATCCAGACCTACATGATGCTGTAATTACAAATATGATTTATGGACCGTGTAGCGCCATCAATCCCCAATCACCTTGCATGGTCGACGGAAAGAGTTCCAAACCATATCGACAGAAATTAACGGCGGAAACCGTCACTGGCAACGATGGTTATCCACTGTATTGGCGTCGATCACCCGATGAGAACGGTCGAACTATCACAATAAAAGTGAAAAGAATGGATTTCGTGGTCGACTACAGTTGGATTGTTCCATATTCACAACTTATTTCCAAAACGTTCAAGACACATTGTAAAGTTGAGTATTGCAATTCGGTAAAGTCCATAAAATACGACTACATCTGCAAATATGTCACAACAGGCAGCGATAAAATTGCGCGCTATCTTGTTGGTCGGTATGTGAATTGCAATGAAACGATTTGGCGTATATTCGCATTCCCTATTCACAAACGTCACCCTACTGTTGTGCATTTTCCGGTGCATCTGGAGAATGGTCAACGAGTATATTCCACGGCTTCGAATATTGTTCAAGGTGCTGAAACAGGCCTACTGTTGCCGTGCCCGACAGGGTCCATAATTGTTTCTTTCTACATTTATAATACCTGTGTATACATTATGGAGCGCAATAAATGAATTGAATTGAATTGAATTAAAACACCGCCAGCGACAACATTGACCAGTTTCTTTGCGATCTGCCAAAGCGATCCGTTTGCGCGAACATTGCTTTACTTGGAGATGCCACGTTATTACACTTGGAATTTCAGCGACGGAAGCAAGGCGATGCGGTTCCTGGGTATCCGGAGTGCGTTCTACTGATGTTCTTGTTCGTATGTATCAGATACGCACATTATTTGCTATCATCATTTCGACATGCTTTCCATCAAACCCATCTAACCTGTGGCACAAATACAAGGTCAAAAGACATTTTACATCAAATTCGTGTCAGTTCAAGAAATCCCGATCTTGACATGAATGAGGAAATACATAATCGAGCTTTGCTCTTGATCGAAGACATGTGTTACCTCATGTGCGGTAGTTTATTAGTCACGTTAGGAATGCCAGTGCCAAATCGTGAAATGGATGACGCATTTAATCGAGAATTGGAACGGGAACGTGAATATGACCACCAGGAATTAGATTTAGTAGTTCAAACGAATGTTAAAATGACTGATGAGATGTTTTGGAGGCGCAATGATTTTACTGTCTGGCGATTTTCGTCAAACAATGCCAGCAATTCCAAGATCAACTGCAGCCGACGAAATAAACGCTTGCTTCAAACCATCGAATCTATGGATGAATAAAGTATTTCCAAACATTATTAATAACCACAAAATAAATTGAGAGCGAGCAAATGTGGCGCCTAAGAATAAAGATCTCTACATCTTTATTCTTAGGCGTCATTCTTATTCTGAATTATGTAGTTAAAATCATCTATGATTCAAACTACATAATTCAGAATGAGATCATTGGTACACTTCATTCAAATTCATTGACTGTGTAACAAATGAAGATGAAGCCACCAACTATCCAATTGAATTTTTAAACTCCTTGGATGTGCTTGGCTTACCACCAATTAACCACAACCACAATATAAGTGTAAAGGTTGGCTCCGTAGTAATCATGCTTCGTAACATAAACCAACCAAAACTGTGCAACAGAACACGTTTGGTGGTAAGTAAATTGATGAATAATGTGATTTACGCAACGATACTCAAAGGAAAATTCGAAGGTAAGAAAGTTCTCATTCCGAGGATCCCGATGATCCCAACCGATATGCCGTTTCAGTTTAAACGACTTCAATCTGTCTTGGATTCGCCATGACTATTAGCAAATCACAAGGCCAATCCTTGAAAGTTATTTGTTATTTGTTCTTGCGCCTGATAATAAAACGAAAAATGTCATCTATCACAAGGTGCTTCACTGAAGATTGATCACCCATTCACGAAAATACATGGCCAATACAGAATCATTAAAACACTTGATTTTTTTTTTTTATTTATTATCCTAATAAAAATAAAATCCTAAATATGCTCATTTATGGCCTCTTAGGCGGAACAAAGTTCATTTTGCGTATTACATTTTTTTTTTATAAAATGAATATAAACATTATCAATCTATTTTGAGATGAGAATGAGAGCGTATGAAAAAACTTAGTTTTCGATAAAACAACGCATTTGTAAAGTCTGCTAAAAAGGTAGAAATTTACGAAATGGGGCCACTAATTGGCCAAACAAAATTGAAAACAAAAATGAATAAAATAAATTTAATGCAATACGACAAAAACCTAAACAAAACTCTTAAAATATTTTGACATAAACTGTGGCGTTTGTGCTCAGAATCAACCAGTACTTGTAAAAAGTCACTAATGAAAGAAAACTATGCTTACACGAGCAATAGGCTAGTGTCCTCCAATAACAAATTGCTTGGTTTATAGTTTTAAATTATAAATGAAGAGACATAGATAAGACAAAAACAGTCTATTTCTCATAAAAGTTAAAGATTATTAATATTTTTTTTAAATGAATTCGAACAAAATAGGCATTAAGTCATGTGACAGCAAACACCAATCAGAAAGTGTTACGTCACGCCACGCTAAACATCATTGTTTTTGTTGACGTTTTCATACAACAGAGCAGGTTACTCCTTTTGTTCTTCGTTTTTAGCATAATTTCTCACCTTAATACAGATTCAGTTGACACTGGACACAGATGTAAACAGTTTTGTTTCGCAGACTGTGACGTCTTTCAAGACGCCATGGCACTATTCAGCGTTTTCAAGGGAAATTTAAATGGTTATTTTTTAAATACAAAATACGTAATGTAAATATTGCTTTTTCTTTAAAATATAGATTTTTTGGGATAATATAGATATTGAAGTCTAAAATTAAACAAGTTTTCAAATTGATTCAACCAGCCTATTAAAATATAAACTTCAATGAAGGTTTAAACACACATAAAATACATACAATATTTTGAAGGTACTTTTAAAATAATTATCTACAAGAAAGCGTACGGGCATAATAGTGTTGTGATGATAGTGATGTAATAATAGTGATGTATACAGTGTTGTGTTCATAAATATTTACACTTCTAGTTCGATTTATTGCAATAATTTTATTACAGCGACAGTTTTGAATTGAGTTAATGCAGTTAGATGGTTACGTCATGCATGTAACAATCCATGTCATAGACGAATAAAATATGTAAGTCTCGCCTTAGTTGTTTAACGTTAACGTTTATGAGCAGAAAAAAAGTCTTGTGTACATTTCTAAATCCAATTAGAATAAATTTTACGACAATATTATTATTCCAACTTATCCTCTAAAAGCTAGAACGAATTTAGATGTATTCATTAAGGGGGTCCAACCCCTCATCATCAAGCTGGTGAATCCATCCATTATCATCATCATTCATTCTTACAGCATCCCGAGAGTTACTGACTATTTTTTTTTTAAAGTCACATGGCTATAACGCAGGCACTACCTAAAGATTTTCGATTTAAAGTGGTAGGTGTTGATAACTATGTTTTTCTTAATTATAACTGCATTTTCTTGGGAGTACCAATAAACTGAGTAAAGATTTTTTATATGTGTGATATGCTGATATTGATATACTTAGCGGGTTTAGTTCTAGTCAGTCCATCCGACCAAGCGTAGGTTATTACCTACCTAAGTTATAAAAATTCTGTTGATAAGTTAAAGCGCGACTGTCTTGAAGATATAACGTTGTCTCTTTCATGCGAAAGTAAAACGCTCGGCATTGTGTTAATGATGCCTTCTAATCTAGTGTGTGTAATATAATAAATAAGTATGGGTAGGTATACCTAAAAAAGCTAAAGCTTTCGTGTATTACGTAATGTAGATAGGAACTTTCAATTGATTTTCGATAAACTAATTAAAACTAAACATGATACCAGATGACCAAAAATTGCCCACAATGAAGTGTGAAACACACTTCTTTTATTTTTATAAGCGAGTTTTCAATCGTTTAAAACGATTTATTTGGGGTTTGAAACGGTAACATTTTGTTTAAAATGTTTTAAATCGGTCGCTTTACATCTATACCTATAGCTCTAAATCTATAACTTTTTTGTGTAATTATGGTTACCGTTACTTAGTTTGGTAGTCTTTAGTTAGTTTTTGACACAAATTAGCAATGTGTCAACTGAAAATAAACCAATGTTTAACAACACCCCAATTTGTATTGCCAATTTTTTAAACTAACATAAAACATTATTTGGTTGGTAAGTAATTAATTCATTCATTTCATTACCTGCTACCTATTTATAATTTCCTTTCATAACAGTAATAATAAAGATGTCAAATTACGAGTAATGTAGGTAATATGTAGGTAGTATGGTTCGTTGTTGTCTATCAATGTATAACTTGTTATGGAACTTCCACATACTAGAGGTATTGCTCTTCAAAGTCCGCTTGGGCACAAGCGGGCCAAGGGACATCGACATTTGAAGAATTAGCGATCTTTGGTATTACTCTCTTAATGCTGCCTCGTTTCGATAGAATGAAGTTAAATATTTTATCTGCTATGTTAAGAATACGCTGTGGTTTGAAGTTTGATAAACCAATAAACGTTGTAAAACAAATCGCAACCTATTAATTTGGAACCAACGATGATGGTGCTTACAAAAAGGATTAGCATCAGTATTACATTTTAATAATATTAATAACACTAGTTATTAATTTACTTATTGTTTTCTTTCGTAATTACTTAAAAAAAAATGTTTTGTGGAAAAAGAGGCTACTAAAGTAGGGTCGTTTTTCGTTAGTGGTTTTATGGTGGTTTTGGATGTTGAATTTGGTGGAGAGTTCATTTAAGTGTAGGCTAGAGGTAATCGATTTTGCAAAAACATCAATGATGTCATGGATAATGACTTCGATAGCAGAACATCGAAAATCGATGATCATCGAGCATCCCTACTGTTGGCAACACTGGTCAAAACATGGCCATGACTCCCATGAGTTAAATAATGAAAATTTCAATTTAAAGTACCTACGTAATGGATAAGATTTGATAATTTGCAATTGTTTCACAAGCCTTGTACTTAAAATTTTAATGTTTATTAAAATTGTAGGCTATTTTGTATGGAAGTTCATGCTCATTGCTAGAAATAAAGTTTAAATGAGACTGGTTAGCTTAGTTACAAAACATACGTCAGTCTTTATTATGGAAAAGTTTTAGTAAGCGAGGTAGGTCTCTTAGATTCGGCAAGCCAATGACTAGTAGAAACATAATCTTCGTTATATAGTATACAGACAGCGTAAGTGTGATAAGCTTGCGTTGTGCGTGACTGCTTCGTGTTTCTTATCAAGTTGTTTGTTTTCTTGTCTTGTGAACTCCGAATAACCTCGCTCGACCTCCTAGTTCCCCCTGCCCGCTTATCATTATCAGTACGAATAAAATGAGACAGCGGAAGGTAATTCATTTAATTCGTCAGATACCGTAGCGCGATCACCTATTGTTTTCGGTCCTTGCGACGCAATCTGTTTGCTCAATATCGAAAGCCTAATACATTATTAGGTAATCGTATAATTTATTAAAACAAGTTTAATTTTGTGTGTAATAGTGAAGTGATTTTTTTGTTCATCCTGCATTCAAGAAGAGGAATGCCAAGTGACTGTCGAGACTGTTTGGGTATTCGATTTCGAATTAACACCCTGCACCAAACCTGGAAGTGGCTGCATCAAACAATCGCCCTTCACGAATATTTGATCTCCCTCTCTTCGGCTGATACAGACCCTCGTTGCCCTATGCACTAGGTTACTTATAAGGACATTTTAAGTTTTATTAGACAATTAAATAGTGTAGTGCATAATACTGATATTAAAAAAGAAACGCTTAATATACAACTGTTAGTTCATACAGAAAAGTATCTGTTTGAAATCAAATTTTAATAATACAGAGTGCAAAGATGGCTCAAGCAATGTTGAAGAAGATCGCCACTAGCAGTGCTTGCTTAGTGGTTGGCCTTACCAGAAGATCCAGCGCCCGTACTTTAGCAATAGCTAGTAAAAATGTTAATTCCAAGAAGGAGCGTGTACTGCCTGCAGAGGGGGAGATCACAAAATCAGTTTTTATGTCTCAATCAAATGATATTTATACCAACCTGGCTCTTGAAGACTGGATGTACCGTAACATGGATTTCACTAATCATCATGTTATGATGGTTTGGCGTAATGATCCCTGTGTTGTGATTGGAAGACATCAGAATCCATGGTTGGAAGCCAACGTTCCTCTTGTAAATGAGATGCAGATTGCCCTAGCCAGACGTAATAGTGGAGGTGGTACTGTGTACCATGACCGAGGAAATCTTAACATTACATTCTTCACACCTCGTGAGAGGTATGACAGAAAATACAATTTAGAAATCATCACACGGGCTCTCTTTAGAGGATTTGGAGTAAAGGCTGTCATCAATGAACGTCAGGATATCATTGTTCGAGATAATTACAAAGTATCCTTTTTAGAAATATTTACTTTATGAACTACATATGTTATTAAAGGGGCAGGGGTAAATACTAGCTTTTATTTAATACTTTTTTTTGCTATTTTTTGGCATAAAGCTAAATAGTTTTGAATTCTTGTTTAAACTAGTAAAAGCAGTCTGATTTGTAAGTCTTTTTGTATTAGTTAGATTATTCAGTAAGGAGGGTTACAGGCTATGTAACATCACACTACAACTATTAGAAGTAGAGCAGTGAATCTGCAAGGATCAGTTATCCCATATTTGCCAATATTTTCCTTAGCAGAAATATTATTAGGTGTCTGGGACAGCTGCTAAACTTGGTCGTCTGACAGGCTACCATCACTGCACTCTTCTAGTCAATGCCAATAAGGCAGATCTCAGTAAAGCTCTTGCTAAACGTGAGGTGAGTACATGAATACTAACTACATTAATTACTTTCATTCTTTCTGTTTTATGCTTCTGTATTTTTTCAAATAAAATATATATAGTACTATATTGATTCATTGAATTAAAATGAACTTGAAACAATTTTGTGTTCAAAAGTTTTTTTGATGACCTATTGTTCTTCATAAATGCAGTGGAAAATTCCTTTCTGAGGACAATTTCTTAATGCAAGTTGACACAGATTAATAATAATAATATAATAATATTCTACCACATACACACAACGCCATCTAGTCCCAAACTAAGCAGAGCTTGTACTATGGGTACTAGACAACTGATATAAATACATATATACTTTTTTTTTTTGTAAATACATACATATTATACATAGAAACACCCAGACCAAATCAAACATCAAATGTTCATGCACACAAATGTTTGACTTGAGCGGGAATCGAACCCGCGACCTTTGGAATAGCAGTCCGTTACACAAACCACTACGCCATCCGGTCGTCAAAACTTAGCAAACATATTTAGTAATGCAACTACATGTTGTATAGATTTTAATGCCATTTATTTTCTTAACAAAGACATTTTAACATATTCAATGTTGCCACAGGTCATTTTATGTGCTGCTACATTGTTTACATATAATTCATTAGTTTGTGTTAACTAAAGAACAAATTAGTATCTTTTTATTTCTTTTGCTTTGAACAATCCTTTATCTAATTAACCTTTTTGTGGTGGTTTTTTTCTAACAACTTTTTTGACCAACCCCACAGTTTATGTTAAGGACATTTTAATTCTATTTAGCATGGCATACAGACTATCGCGACGGCATCCACTCGGTCACCCGTGGCGAATCTCTCCGAGGTCAACAGCCGGGTCACTGTAGACAGTCTGCAAACTGCAGTTGGCTACGAGTATTTACGTACCCCAGCCTTGCACTTAGAAGATGGAGGCCAGGCACATATCTCACAACAACGTGGTTTCCAGTTTGTAAACCCAACTGACGAATGGTTTCCAGGTAAGACACATCAATATTATTTAAACTAAGAAAATTGTTTGTGTGATTGTGTAATATTTTATATTACTTTGTGTCTTAATCAACTCAAACTATTAAGTCTATTATATGAATTATTAATATTTTATTCTACAACAGTATGTATACAACATACAACTATTGTATAGGTATAGTCAGTGCGTAGCCATACGAGGGCTAAATTTACATTCATCATAATCATGAAACACTAAACGAATACCAATAATTAGACACATATTATAAATAGATTTTACTTATTTTTAACAGGTCTAGCGGAGTTGAAAAATGAGTTGCAAACCTGGGATTGGAACTACGGCCGAACACCAGTATTCACAGTGAGTCGTGCCTTCCCTGTTCCTGCGCAGTTGCTTGCTCCCTCCGAAATTTACTCAGCAACCCAGGAGCTTATTATTAATATGACAGTTGAACACGGTCTGATTAGCGACGTTACTTTGAATATCCCTCCTGGTCTTATAGAGTCAGGGTTCCATGGAGAAGCATCTGTAATCACACACCTAAAAGGAAAGAGGTTTACCTCTGAAGCATTGAATGCACTACAGGACGCCATGTTAACACGTCATTTGAATACAGAGGTCAGGAAGTTAGACGATAAGGAGCAATTTGTGGCAAAGTGCTTCGATCAAGTGGTCAATACAATGTAAAATAGTCGCCTTTTATTGGAGTGTACTAAATGTATTACAAGGTGTTATTGCTGTGTTTAAAGAACATTTTATTATGTGTAAAATGTAGATATTATTGATAGCATATTACAGTGTGTAAATATGTCATGTAGATATGTATGCAAAATTTATATTTTTTATACAGCTGAAAGTGTTAATAGCTCTTTATAAAATCATAAATTCTTTTTCTACTAATGATAAATGATAGTTCTTCTCCTAACATTCAGCCTGCTTTGTTACGTTACTTCTACATTTCTTTGTTTTTTTTTTTTTAGTTTAGTAATTATAAACTTTTATACATATAGTATAAAGGTGTTGTATCCAGTTGGATTACTATGAATCTCTTAGTAGACTTAACGAAGGCCTACTATATCCTCAGATACACGAGCTTTATGCTGTATGTGTAGAATTTGATCACGCGAATCGCACCTTTGTGTCGATAGCAACAAGAATGCGTCATATCATTTGTTTTAATTGTTATAATTTCGTTACAGAATTAACGTATCCATGAATTATGCTTAATATTGAACATTTTTTTAGCATGTATTAATACTGTATTGTTTATATTCGTGTAGACTTCTCTGAATAAATGAAGCCCATTTCACAACCCGCACTTAACATCAAATTGATAATGGGAACTTTTTTGTAAGAAATGGATTTAGCATGTAATTTTATTATTAATTTTAAGTAGCTAGATATATTGCTCTTTATTTAATTATGCACGTGATTTTTAATAATAACAACATTTTGTAGCTTATTATGTCATGTGAAATAAATAAAAAAACAAGTGTACAAGTGATATGTAGAGGCTGGTGAAATTCGGACATTTTGTTATTGTTATTAGTAGTTAATACAAGAACTTTATGTGGAAATAATTTGTATTGAAATAAATAAATGAAAAAGAAAAATAGTTTTTTTTTTAATTTTATTATCCACTAATAAAGTGACGTCGGGATTTGCATGCTATATATTTAATATCGATTTTCAAGGTCAAGTTAATTTTTATAAGGAGCACGTAGGTACTCAGTTGAGATAACATGAAATATATCTGTGATCCCTTAAAACTGGAAAATAATGAAGCTTCTAAATTAACACACACAAGTTCTACGGCCATTTACCATTTACCAAGTTTAATATTTGGCAAGTAAATCAAAATCTAAAGAGTACTTTTACTATTTCTCTTGAAATAGAATTATGAAATTTGGTGAGAATCAAGGTCTCACAGCACAAGTATTCCTACTTGGCACGGGTACAAGGAAACAAGCTAAAATTAATCTTGAATTTGTTGTTATGTCACATACATTTTTTTTTGAGTGTAATCTCCCAATTTTGCAATTAAAATATTTACTGTGAGGCTTGAAAGTGCAACATTAGGTTTGTCTTCAAAAATACTTATTACAAGCGAAACGCCCTGGCTTTGCACGGGTGCAATGTAGATACTACTACTATTACTATTAATGTGGTGTCAGCGTGGAGTAGCAAATTATACTATTATTATGATAAGACTACTACTATACAGGACATCTTTATTTGCAATATTCATAGGCCCGGTCTACTACTTTTTAAATTTTAATCTACATTAAATGCACAACGTATCTAACGTATTTAAAGGGTGTGAGGCACCCTTAAAGAACTTTATAAATTTATAATCATTTCTTTTTCGTGCAAGTGGTAACTCTGATATATGACAGCTGTCACTTATGTTTTTTCCGATTATTAAAAATGGAGCACTTTTCGAATAATTGTGGAAACTCATTACAAAATTTGGGAAAGTTACGCTGAAACCAAATTTGCCAAATTTTCAGTCGAGAAAGTGCACCTAATGTGTCAACCATTCTAAGAGTAGTCAAAAATTTGAAGAAACTGGGTCGATTATGGATATTAAGAATCCTTTGCGTCAACGTACCGGTCGAAAACAAAAAACATTGCTGCTGTAAACGAGTGTCGCTGAGAACCCGAAAACATAAATTCGGCATCGTTCGTCCAACTCGTCATAGGTGAGATACAGCCACATCTCTGTGTAAAAGTCATAGAAAATTTCATGAAAAAAGTAATGGCCTGTAATCAGATAAGGAATTCTTTGCTTTTCCTTTTTTTTAAAGACAATCCCGAACTTGGAATATATCCTGAGCCGCGTAAGATTTTACAAACATTCATGAAACGGATATAAAAGTACACCCAGACTCAGAACAACAATTTGTAGAGCACACAAAGTGTTGTCCAATGTGGGGATCGAACCCACAACAATCAGCGCAGTAGGAAGCGGCGAAGTGACCGGTTTAAACGCTACGCCATCTGTGCTGTATAGTTCAAAATAGCTTCGTAAATTACCCATTATTTTTTTGTAAAATGTAAAAAGAAATAAACGTCTACTGTGGGCTATGCTTAGGAGATAGACATATACCATCGCGGTATTTTTTGTAGACATTTTTAAGATAAAAAGCTACTTTATTTTATGCTTTGTTAATATTTGGAAAAAATGAATTTTCCAATTCGTTTTAAGAATAACGGAGTTATGAGGTAACAAATATTTAAAGAAATACAACCTCCTTCTGATGAGATTTTGGAGTCAGTTAAAAATATAAAAGTTACAAGTTACAAATATAAAAGTTTTTACGGACCCCCTGGTGCGCGAGACCGGTTTCTTTAAATAAATAATGCTGATTTTAAAGAACTTAAATATAATATCCCGTTCCAATTTGTATTTTTAAATAGCAAAGATACGAATTGTTATTTCTTTTTAAATTGAGAAGTATTTTATCATCAACGAGATAGGCCTGATTTAAAACCCTGTCATAAAAAAATAGAGTATTCCCAGGTTTGCGCATTTTTTACACATCTAACACGGTCGTCTGATCCCAAAGCAGACCAAGCAGTAGTCATGGTAACCAGACTATTGATAAATATTTTTAAGTACATACAAATTATAATTCGAACCTCCGGCATAACAGTCAATATCATACACCACGAGACAAACAGGCCCGCATTTTTTTTAAAATATGATATATGCATATTTTATAATTTCCTAAGGCCGATTTTCTGTTAGGCCGTGGTAACGGTCTGCCTGATTATGCCGAATCATGACTCTCCCACGAATATTGGAACGAAGTTCTTTATCGCGAGTTAAAGGATCTGAGCGTTTGGGAGCGGATCCCCATCACTTGGATAATTGACACTCCACCACTGTTGCTTTTCAAGAAACTTCTTGCCCCCCAGAGCCAATCTGTGGAACAAGTTATCGTCGGAGGTATTTTCGGACCGATTCGACCTTTAAGCAAAAAGCGTACTCCTTCCTAACACGCCGGCAACGCGCTTGTGACTTCTTGAGTAACAGGCGATCATAGGTGGCGGTAGTCCATTTCAGGTGACCCGCCTGTTCGTTTGCCCCCTCTTCCATAAAAAAAGTCTACATGTGCCTCAAAATTATGAGATGAGCTACGAAACAAATTATGTAAGTTTGTATGAGGTCCCATGGATCATCATCATCATCATCATTAGCCTATCGCAGTCCACTGCAGGACATAGGCCTCTCCCATTGCACGCCACTTAAATCGATTTTCGGCTTCTCGCTTCCAGCTCCTGCCAGCTAGATTGCGCAGATCGTCACTCTACCTGGCCTACCTATTCGATTTTGAACGGGGTATCTTCACATCTGATGACGGTGTTAAGCTTGTAAAACATATTTTTCAAACCTACCACAAACCTTTGACGATAAAAACACAATTACTTAAGCGAATCACTGGCTTAGCGTGAATAACTTAATTCTTAATGGGGAATGGATTAAACATATATATATCTACGGTTCACTATTCCAAACATAAAGCAGGTACCACCACTATAATGGTTAGTAAACAAAAATTCGTAGCTATGGATACCAAGATAGTTGAAAAATAATCTAAAAGAAAAATTCGAGCAATGACGAGTGCTACAACGGTGTTGCAATGGTGTCCATTTAGTATATTTAAGTTATTTTATATGTAGTATAAATTCATGTGGTATTTATTATACTGTGAAGGAATGCCAGCTATTTTCGATGTACAAAAGTGCTCCAGAAGAGGTCTATCTGAGCAGGGCTTAAAAGCTTGAGATTAAATTGGTTGTCAAATCACAGGCTATTTCAAATACTTAATAGATATTATAAGATGTGAATGAAATTGTTTTTGTTATCTTTGTTTATTTTACTCATATTTCTCCTTTGTTTATTTTAACCTAAAATTGGCTAATGGAGTCGCCTAAGGGCACATGACAGGGTTAGCCCTGTTATCAGAAGGTTTATTGGAAGGCTAGGATTAGCCCTAGTCTTCCAATAATGATCGACAATAATACATTTAATTTTTAAGTTCAAACTTTATTAGCGTTCTTTTTTCAAAGACTATACCTCTCTCTATAATCAAAGGTTTCATCATGGCTATAATGTATTTCTAACGCATTTCATGTAAAAGAAAGTAGCTTTATGTACTACTTCTCCATATAAAATTTAACTGTGTCATAAAAAAAAAAAAACTGTAACTGTGTCATATTTACGTTCATCCGTTCACGCAATTTTCTTAAAAAGGGATACAAAGTTTTCGCTTCATGTATTAATATACAGATTCTTAAGCGATTGATATTTCTTACATACGTTACACATGTAGGTATCTAACAAGTTTGTATGAAGATGACCAAGGACTGCACAGATGTATCAAGACTTATTCCTAAATAAGAAAAATATACTTTCACCGTACTGAATAAGTGTATATAGTTGATTTTTTATGCAATTACAATATTGACATTAAAAAATTATCAGTAGGTAAGTAGAGCGTGGATTCAAAGGTGGTATAAAAAGATTTCTCAAGAGTTGACAATGTGACAGTGACACGATTTACCAACATACTTACATGACTGTATGTACATTATACATTTTTGTTAATTGTACCTATAATATTGTTTGTGTTTTTTTTTATATCTCAAGTCGAATTTTTAGTTTTGAGCTTTATTTATTT